TGGAGAGAGAGGGAGGGGGAGAGATAGAGAGGGAGAAATGGAGAGAGAGAGGAGGGGAGAGATAGAGAGGGAGAAATGGAGAGAGAGGGGAGGGGAAGAGAGGGAGAAATGGAGAGAGAGGGGAGGAGGAAGAGATAGAGAGGTGAGAAATGAGAGAGAGAGGGGAGGAGGAGAGAAATGGAGAGGGGAGAGATAGAAATGGAGAGGAAGAAAAAGAGAGGGAGAAAAAGAAGAGAGGGGAGGTGGAGAGAGAAGGGAAGGAGAAAAGATAGAAATGGAGCTGAAGAAAGTGAGAGGGTTTTGGGGAGAGAGAGGGGTTGGGAGAGAGGAGGGGGATGGGGAGAGAGAGGGGTTGGGGAGAGAGAGGGGTTGGGGAGAGAGAGGGTTTTGGGGAGAGAGAGGGGTTGGGGAGAGAGAGGGTTTTGGGAGAGAGAGGGTTTTGGGGAGAGAGAGGGGTTGGGAGAGAGAGGGGTTGGGAGAGAGAGGGGTTGGGGAGAGAGAGGGGTTGGGGAGAGAGAGGGTTTTGGGGAGAGAGAGGGGTTGGGGAAGAGAGGGGTTTTGGGGAGAGAGAGGGGTTGGGGAGAGAGAGGGGTTGGGGAGAGAGAGGGTTGGGAGAGAGAGGGTTTTGGGGAGAGAGAGGGGTTGTGGAAAGAGAGAGGGTTTTGGGGAGAGAGGGGTTGGGGAGAGAGAGGGGTTGGGGATGAGAGGGGGAGAGAGAGGGTTTTAGCGGGAGAGAGAGGGTTTTGGGGAGAGCGAGGGGTTGGGGAGAGAGTCGGGGTTGGGGAGAGAGAGGGGTTGGGGATGAGATCTCGAGAGAGGGAGAAGGGAGAGCGGCCAGAAATAAGAAAGGCGAGACAGATTCGAAGCGAGGGCGAGGAAGAAGAGAGAGGGAGAAATGGAGAGTGGAGCAATAGAGAAAGGGAGAGAGAAAGTGATTGGGCCGAGAGGGGTAGGGTGGAGATTCAGAGAGAGAAATCGGAGAAGGAGGAATTCAGAGAGAAAGGATGGAGAAGTGAAGAGAGAGAGAGGATGAAATTGAAGAGGGATGGCACTAGCGGGTCACTAAGTCCTCACGAAATGAAAAAAACGTGTTTTTTCGACCTCAGATCTTAAATAATGCAGTTAATATACAAAATATGTTAATATTCAAACAACTCAATTAGTACTAATTGGGCCTTGGCACAAAATACAGCATATCACAGGTTTTTATGCCTTTTTACAAGTGAAAGTGTGTAAAAAATGTGAATAAAACAAACTATTGTGAAACAGGGCATAACCCGGTGTAAGTAGATCAAGGTGAATGTCCATGACCTATGACACCTTGACGACAGGTGAGAACAGGTGCATAATGCCTATAGTCTGTTTCTGCTATGTCAATTTGGACTTTGTTTATTTTTGAATGTTGAAAGTGACGACAAATTACCTCCTGTAAAGTACATTTTGTATTGTTCACTGAGATCAAACTAGCAAACCAGACTAGTACTTTTCGACTTGTTTTGTTATTTCGTCTTTACCAGCGACGTTACGCTTTGTGTCGATTTTTAAATTGAGAAAAACAGTTTTTTTTTCATTTCCGTGAGTACTTTAGTTATGCAGAAGTTCAAAATATGTTCCTTTACCTTGTGTTTGAATCGAATAGCACGTATGCATATGCATGTAGCAAATGTTAGAATGCATTGGTGATAACATCTTTGATAGTTTTTAAAAAATTGTATTAAACTGTCAGACCTATCGACTGTATGTACGTTTACTGAAAGAGTTAAACACTCGTTAAACGTCACTGACATCTACACACAATATGCCCATCACGATAAGCGCCCGAGTAGGAAGTGGGTTCCGCCAGGTCACTTCCTGATTGAGAGCCGTGAAGCCTGCAGTGTCATGCAGTGCGTGACCGGGCACCACCAGACTGAAACAGGCGGCTTAGGAGGCTGAGATAACGACCCAGAGTTATTTGAGCCTAGGCTCTAGACTATCATCTAGTCTCTGAAATGAACATATCGTACAGAAAAAAACAAACCAGTTGTTAAATTATCTTAAAAAAATAATAAAAAGAGCCCTGAGACTCTCTTCATTTTTCCGGATACTGCAGAAATCTAGACTTGCCAAACATTATAGACTTGCATGGGCTGTATTTGATGTATTTGTATCAGGGTCTGTAAGACAGACTACCTAGGATCAGATGACTTCCCTTAGGCTCAGATACCCCCCCCCCCCCCCCCCCCCTCCCCCCTCTTCTCTCCCCCCCCCCCCCCCCCCCCCCCCCCCCGGCTCAAATGACTCCCCCAATTGTTTTGAAATGTTTGCAAATGTTTTGACGCTAATTGTGCAACAGTCTGCGAATGTCGTACACAAATAATATATTTTCAATGATACAGCACAGTATTTTTGCGCTTAGGGTGGTTATTAGACAAACATGACCGTGAAGTATTTCTCAACCATTATTAAACGGGCCCTCTCATTTTCATTTTCTTTGATATTTAATGCGCTAAATCTTCCAACAAAACAGAACAAAGCAGTAATTTATTTCTCTCAGGCCGAGTACATCGACACGTGAGGCACAAACAGTAATTTATGTAGGACAGAGGTTAACCTGGAGGATTTACAATGATGCATGATGGTCACTCTGATATCTTATAACTGTACATGTGAGGTGAAACGGGGTTTTAACGTCGTATCCAAGATTATTGCACATCTATAGCTGGTACTAGTCCGGACTGACGCCGATTTCATAGTGCAAGCTCACTGATATACTATGCCAGAGTTAAACATGAATACCCCACTCAGCCACAGTATACTGACTCCGACCAGTCCTTGTTTTAGCCCCTTAATGCCGAGCACCAGGCAGGGTAACAACAAGTACCATCTTTTAACGTCTTTTGGTGTGACCCGGCCGGGTATCGAACCCCCGACCTTCCGCTTTCCGGGCGGACGCTCTACCACTAGACCATGTAGGCGGTCGAATGGTAACGCCTAATATACACGGGCAAACTGTGTGTTGAACGCCGGCACATTTAACAAGGATGTAACTCCAGTGACGTCATCGTTATAATGATGCAGGAAGTTTGACAGTGTCGTGGCTGATAAGTGATATGTACATATACTTTACATACATGCATTCGTTGCTTGTGTGCTGGAGGGTGGTTACCGGCTAATCTCGTCCATTAACCTTGCAGAGCAGGTATATCCACGAATAACTGCATGTGCAAATAGGAACCTGATATCTCACTCGAAAAGGTAAACGTGCCATTTGTCAAGTGGAAAAAATAAACCTACGTCAGTTCTATCTGAGTTCCCTTCGTTGTATGTCAAAGAGTTGGGGCGTACTTACACAATATGGAAGCACCGATAAATAAGCTGACTGTAATTCGGGTAAATGTGAAGAGTTTCTGAAAAGAAAAATATTTTAAGAGAACCATTTTGATGTCGTTGAGGAATATGGGAAATAAACATATGTTTTAACTTTCTGTAGTGAGTGGGTATGGTTTTACGCCGCTTTACGCATCGGGGCGAGAACACCAGGAATGGGCTTCACATCCATGTGAAAGGTAGAGGAGAAGACAATATTACTGAGACCAAGGATCATAATTCACTCACTACAGTTTTTTTTTCAGTTAAATATACAAGAAGGTACAAGGATAAGCTCTACGCTACCCCACCAAACCATCTGAAGTGAGGTATTTCACAAGGGGAGTAATTAAACAAGTGTCACCAACAGCCTCCTTGTCACAGTACAATGAGTGAGTGAGTGAGTGAGTATGGTTTTACGCCGCTTTTAGCAATATTCCAGCAATATCACGACGGGGGACACCAGAAATGGGTTTCACACATTGTACCCATGTCGGGAATCGAACCCGGGTGTTCGGCGTGACGAGCGAACGCTTTAACCACTAGGCTACCCGACCGCCCCCTGTCACAGTACAACAAACAGCCTCCCTCCTTATCACAGACAGTACAACAGACAGCCTCCCTCCTTGTCACAGACAGTACAACAGACAGCCTACCTCCTTGTCACAGACAGTACAACAAACAGCCTCCCTCCTTGTCACAGACAGTACAACAAACAGCCTCCCTCCTTGTCACAACCAGTACAACAGACAGTCTACCTCCTTGTCACAGACAGTACAACAGACAGCCTCCCTCCTTGTCACAGACAGTACAACAGACAGCCTACCTCCTTGTCACAGACAGTACAACAGACAGCCTCCCTCCTTGTCACAGACAGTACACCAAACAGCCTCCCTCCTTATCACAGACAGTACAACAGACAGCTTACCCCCTTGTCACAGACAGTACAACAAACAGCCTCCCTCCTTGTCACAGACAGTACAACAGACAGCCTACCTCCTTGTCACAGACAGTACAACAAACAGCCTACCTCCTTGTCACAGACAGTACAACAAACAGCCTCCCTCCTTGTCACAGACAGTACAACAGACAGCTTACCTCCTTATCACAGACAGTACAACAGACAGCCTACCTCCTTGTCACAGACAGTACAACAGACAGCCTACCTCCTTGTCACAGACAGTACAACAGACAGCCTGCCCCCTTGTCACAGACAGTACAACAGACAGCCTACCTCCTTGTCACAGACAGTACAACAGACAGCCTCCCTCCTTGTCACAGACAGTACAACAGACAGCCTGCCTCCTTGTCACAGGCAGTACAACAGACAGCCTCCCTCCTTGTCACAGACAGTACCACAGACAGCCTGCCTCCTTGTCACAGACAGTACAACAAACAGCCTCCCTCCTTGTCACAGACAGTACAACAAACAGCCTCCCTCCTTGTCACAGACAGTACAACAGACAGTCTACCTCCTTGTCACAGACAGTACAACAGACAGTCTACTTCCTTGTCACAGACAGTACAACAGACAGCCTCCCTCCTTGTCACAGACAGTACAACAGACAGCCTACCTCCTTGTCACAGACAGTACAACAGACAGTCTACTTCCTTGTCACAGACAGTACAACAGACAGCCTCCCTCCTTGTCACAGACAGTACCACAGACAGTCTACCTCCTTGTCACAGACAGTACAACAGACAGCCTGCCTCCTTGTCAAAGACAGTACAACAGGCAGCCTACCTCCTTGTCACAGACAGTACAACAGACAGTCTACCTCCTTGTCACAGACAGTACAACAGGCAGCCTACCTCCTTGTCACAGACAGTACAACAGACATCCTACTTCCTTGTGACAGACAGTACAACAGACAGTACAACAGACAGCCTACCTCTTTGCCCCGGATTCCCGGCAGTACGACATAGAAGGAGAAGGCAAGAATGACGATGCAAAAGATGAGACCGGACTCCAAGAGGTCAGCCTCGAATGGCGTCTTGTTGGCCTCGTAGAATGTTGGGGCGCCATTCTTGCGGAATGCTGTGTATAAGCCCATGATGGCGTTGCCAACGACGATGCTGAAACATAACAGATAAAGTGGTTGAGTGTAGTTATTGGAGAGGGTCACTATACTGGCCTCGTATAACAGCCTCAAAGTCTGAAACTGTGACGTTACATTACATCTTGGTGAGTGAGTGAGTGAGAATGGTTTTACGTTTTTTTTTTAGCAATATTCCAACAATATCACGGTGGGGGACACCAGAAATGGGCTTCACACATTGTACCCATGTCGGGAATCGAACCCGTGTCTTCGGCGTAACGAGCGAAACATTTTGGTATTTATGAGTGAGTGAGTGAGTTGGGTTTAACGCCGCTTTGAACAGTATTCCGCGCAGTTACATGACAGCTTGTCAGCTTAGAAAAGGTAGGAAAGCCGGAAGTGATGCAGGTCTCAGACGTTTACCAGCTTGGTAGAAGCCCAGAAGCACGGGTTTGGTGCTGACAAACCTAGAAACATAATCGGAGCGAACCGGGATTCGAACCCACAATCTGGTGTGCCCAATGTGCGCAACTCTGCACAGAGAATTGCGGCGCTTAAGAAGACTGACCATCTGTGACCCTGGTACTTATTAACAAAATCAAAGTAAACGCATAAAATGTAAGAAAAGAAATGTAAAAACATGGCGTTTGTTTTCATTTTACTAGTTGACGTTTGTTCATCCACGATACAGAAACCACTTGTCTCTAAGATAAGTTGCTTTATTTGAAATGTGTTATTTGTGCTTTATTTGAGTCTTTCAAAAAGAACGAGTACCAGGTACGTTGTTTGTTATTTGTTGTTTGTTGTTTAACGCCGCACTCACCAATATTTCAGCTATATGACGGCGGTCTGTAAATAATCGAGTCTGGACCAGACAATCCAGTGATTGACATCATGAGCATCGGCCCACGCAATTGGGATACGATGACATGCATCAATCAAGTCAGAGAGCCTGGCCACCCGATCCTGTTAGTAGCCTCTTACGACAGGCATAGTCGCCTGTTACGGCAAGCATTTTTAATTCTACCCGGGGTCTTCACGGGTCGGGTACCAGGCGCGATGAGGTGGTATAAATGCCTGTGAACTCTCTAGCTTATGTTGGCGTCTGTTGAATACTCCCCAAGGAGCTGAGAGTGTCATTCCCCTTTCGGTATACGAGGGATTTGCGGTGTGCAAATAAAATCGTATTTGATATTTTTTTCAGTAAGAACAAATTGCACTGTTTTCTCAATTCTTTTAGATTTGTAGCAGTTTCGGGATTCTGGGGTGAGCAATGAGATGGTATCGGAATTCAGTGAACATGAGGTTGGCATGCTCAGTTTTATTCCCACTGATGCACTTTAAACCTGTCTGTGTGTGAAGTCTATCGCTGCAAGATTGGGTAAGTAACAATTAGGAGATAAACATACCATGTTGACAATTTAGAGCACGGTTCCGTACAGCGCGAACTTCGTGTGAGCATAGCTATTGAGTAAAGCGGCGTGGATTTGTCTCTCTGTTTCCCTAAAACCTGAATAACTCTATCCCTTGATTTCTTTCTCGAGAGCTTCCTGCCCAAAAGGCACTGCCGTGCATACATTGAATCAATCTCGACATTGAATATTGTTGTAACATCAACTCTGCAGTTTATAACCGATAAGTGTACATCGTTATTTCAAAATGCCTACGGACAATAATGAGAAAGAAGCACTTTTCTATAAGTGATAGTTTCCGCGGTGATGCGGACCTCAGATCAAATCAGTTGTTTCAACCAGCGGTAGTTAATGTGATTTGATCCTCATGATAATATATCTGCCCCTCTGTGTCTGGATACCCGTGAAGATCCGGGGTAGAATAGGTCTTCAGAAACCCATGCTTGTCGTAAAAGGCGACTATGCTTGTCGTAAGAGGCCACTAACGGGATTGGGTGGTCAGGCCCGCTGACTTGGTTGATGCATGTCACCGTATCCCAATTGCGTAGATCGATGCTCATGATGTCAATCACTGGATTGCCTGGTCCAGACTCGATTATTTACAGACCGCCGTCATATAGCTGGAATATTGCTGAGTGCGGCGTAAAACAACAAACCAACCAACCAATCTGTCTGGAGGCGGATGGCCAGTTGACTAAACGTTTGGGGAGTTATGTCCCTTGCTCATGACGGTGTTCATCGTCCTCATGGCATTCCTCCAATATCAACCTGTCACACTCTATATATAGAGTAAGTTTTTAAATAATTGTTAAACTCTATTGACATGTTAGCAGGTTGTCTACTTTAGTACTGAGTTATACATGTAAACGCCTTTGTATTTAAATGAGAATGAAGGGGCCAAGGTTCAATCGACGAACGAACAAACAAGAGCGGGATATGTCTCTCAACGCCAGAGAAAAGAAAAAGAAAAGAACCACATTCACATTGCATTTCGTGTTTGCTGATAGTGAAGACGAGGCTGTCAAAGGAATAGAAAATGTGTGTACATTAAAACATGCTTTGCATAATGTGTTTTGCTAGATACTCTTCAATGCCTTCTTTCATTGAACCTAAGAATGACATGTACATATATGTCAATTTTCAGACCGACAACGTAGTGGCTGACGTATAAAGCTGGACAGTAAACAAAGTCGATGCTTGCGTCTCTAATTGTTAAGTCACTCTACTTGAATATCATGCATAACAAAACAATGTTTCCGACAGGTTGGAGAGCGTGTTCGCCGTTTGCACTGTAGATTACTGCTTGTCAGCTTTTTGTGGGAGGAAGGTGACGTGGGCGTTTACCAAGGGTAATAATCGAGGCGACTCTTGGAATTGAACGTACGACCAGCGGATCCTGGTACGACTAGGGACGCAACTCTACTCAGCCGTTTTAAAGGTGTCCTAGTCGTTAATCCGGAAACCATGTTTAACGGTAGTTAACAGTAATAGGGACCGGTTATAGATACGCTGAAAGGATTATCTTCAACAACGATTCGTTAAACCGGGATTTTGCTAATCCGGACGATTTCACTGGATTCAGCAGTGTTCGGATTAACGAGATTTCACTTCGTCTTGACAAAATACACCTTTGAAAGGACGTATGAGCATTTGACAAAAAATAACAACAACCTGGAAAACAATAGTAGAAAGCTTGATGTTTCTGGAGACCTTCAGGAAGTCCTACTGATACAAGTCCTCCTGACACAGTGTTCCCCAAGTCTCCAGAATCCCACGGCCATAATAAAAACAACAAACTCGATAGTAAACACTTCATATCATACAGCTTCCGGGTTCGTGGATTCTGCTTACGGAATCAACATATTCTCATGATTTCTCCATTACAGAATTAATACACCGGAGCATATTAGTATCTTTGAGTCAATTGAAATGACATTATATTAGGAATCGCGTTCAGAAAACAGTATTTTACGCATCATTGTCCTTTAAACAAATATAGGTTTGTTTTGATACATGTCATCACGAAATACAGTAAGTCTATCGTGGCACGAAGTATCTCCATACAGCGAATCATGTGTAAATCGCAACACCCCATACAAATATGAAAAAAATGGATTAATTCAATGACTAAATAGAAAAACAAGAGACATTACAAAATATGAGTGAATGAATAAAACGTGACCAAAGAGGAGACTGGAAACAGTCTAGAAGAGAGAGACATATTCAGTGCAAGATTGTCATCTCATCCGTGTTACCATAGAGTCCTATGTAGCTCCCTGATACGGCATGTGCACACCTCGGTCGCGTTGCCTGACTTACTTCCTTGTTCATGGCAACACGGGGGTGTAACTTGATACCATCATATAATTATAAAAACATTCTAAACGACGTTTCATTGGTACTACAATGTTGTATAATCGTTTTGCATTGTGATTGTCACTGTATGATTAATTAATAATGTCGGCGTGCGTGAAGAGAATGTCGCGAATGCAGATGCATGTTGGGAGATTAAGGTTGAAATAAACACGATACATGAATATTTATCATGATATTTACATATCGTTACCGTCAATCGTAGGATTGATGATCATGAAATCATGTAACAATGAACTTTGGATTAATAATGCAATACTTAAATTTGGCTTATCTCTTCATCTACACATTGCCATTGATCAGGAAGTTCGTCGTTTTGTTTACTGTGGAACATACAGTAAACTACGGTTATAACGAACTCAAAGGGACCACTAATTTTAGTTCGTTATAACCGTAGTTCGTTATAAGCATATATACAGCATATATACAACAAATAGCCGGGACTAAAATTTAAGTTCGTTATATCGGTCAGTTCGTTATAAGCGTGTTCGTTATAACCGTAGTTTACTGTACATCCATCACGTGCCGCTCGTGCAGTCACGGACTTATATATATAGGTCAGTGGTGCAGTAAGTAACAACTGCCATTTACCTGTGAATAAAGGATAACGTTTCTTCCTGTGTCTCTTTGAGCGTGTTGAAAGTCTGCCTCTGTTGCCTTTTCACCCTTAACGTATAAGGCGGTACTCGATTTTAATTCAAACAGTGTTTATAAAGTCATAGTTTATAATGTTTACCTTACATGTATTGACGCATTTCAACACTAGAATACACATTTGTATATGCTAATGTCTTCAGTGATCTATTGTAACCCAACGGATCGACCAGCTAAATCGGTTTTTTTCCTGTGGCCCGTGTTCATATCATTCTATACAATTCTAACCGCCGTGGCTTCCCAACGGTAGACAATACGAGTAGGACATGACCCGTTGTTATCTGATTTCACGTGTTCCCCTTCACCTGCATTCATAATGTTAAAGTAAATATGAGACAAGCCTAATCGGGGTGGATATATTGCAGGGATATATGATACATAGACCACGAGTCGGAACAGTGGACTCTTTTAGAGTGTCTATCTAAAACAACGCAATGGTATTTTAATATAAATAAATTATTGGCAAAATTAGCTTAGTTCTTTAAAAATACATTTTGTCTTTACATAAAAGATGTAATAAAAATAATTGATAATTTCTGACTTCTGACTCGATCCCCTACCGCGTCATAACAAAATACTTTAAATGATACTTGTTGTTACCCTGCATGGCGCTCGGCATTAAGGGTCTAAACAAGGACTAGCCGGGTCGGAGTCAGTTTACTGTGTCTGAGTGGGGTATCTTTGTTAAAACTGCTGCAATGGTTTCTTAGTGGGCTGGGACTATAAATCGGCACATATGTGCATATATAAGTGCAATAATCTTCAAGGAGACGTCAAATCCCATGTCACCTCAACCTCAATACGTATTCAAGTGTGGCAGCACCGGGGTTTCAACTTCAAGGCACAGGGCAAACACCGGAAAGGGGAGATAGGCGCCGCGGTATACTGCCCCAGCGCACTGCATTGTCCAGGCGGGGATGTGGGTTGAGCAACAAATATACACATCAATGGAGGTTATCACGCGAGTGTGTTTGGGGATGGTAAATATCCTGCATTAAGAATAAACATTGTATTAAGCGAGCCTTTGTGAGCTACATACATGGTGTTTATTCCTAATACAGGATATTCACCATCCCCAAACACACTCGCGCGATAACCTCTTTATCACATAATGTCATTCTTTAATTCTGTGCTTGAAAGTCGCTGTCCCTCTCTCACAAACATTACCGAAACATTGCGAGCTGTCCTGGAATGCGCGCATTAATATTTATTACGCCACAGGGTAAGTGATGTGTCTGTCGGACAGTGACAGTAGCCAATTTAGTTCCAACTGAAGCGATGCAACATATACGCAAAACAACTATTGTTTTTACTTGCTTTTCGCGGCAATCAATCGGTCTGTCCGCTAAAGTAACTGCCCTTTGTCAAAGGGGAGGCTACTCTAACCCTAGTCTATGAGACGTCACGGCCACGGTCAGACGTTGTTGACTGTCGGCCTGTCCTGTCATAACTTTAAGAAGTGCCGTCAGATGTACACACAGCGACAAAACGAAACAAGGTAACAATTCAAACATATTTCGGCAGAAATCCAACAATTTTAATTTGTGAAAAAGGTTTCAAGACGCAGAGGTCTACAAGCACAGATCCCGTACTGATCCCGCTTGGCTAGGCCTAGTGCCCCCGCTAAATTGTTTCAAAATATATATCTCCAATGTTGCCAAAACTTGGAAATGCCAAGTTTAACGCAACACTAAGCAATTTTCCAGCTATATGACGGCGGTCTGTAAAAAATCGAGTCTGGACCAGACAATCCAGTAAAAGATATCATGAGCATCGATCCACGCAATTGGGATCGATGACATGCATCAACCAAGTCAGCGAGCTGACCACCCGATCCCGTTAGTCGCCTTTTACGACAAGCGTAGTCACCTTTTACGACAAGCATGGGTTGCTGAAGACCCATTCTACCAAACACACAAGACCGGGATATGTCTCTCAACGCCAGAGAAAAGAAAAAGAAAAAACCCAAACACATTCACATTGCATTTCGTGTTTGCTGACAGTGAAGATATGGCTGTCAAAGGAATAGAAAATGTGTGTACATTAAAACATGCTTTGCATAATGTGTTTTGCTAGATACTCTTCAATGCCTTCTTTCATTGGACTTTTGGACTAGGGACGCAACTTTAACCTGCCGTTTTAACGGTGTCCTAGTCGTTAATCCGGAAACCCTGTTTAACGGTAGTTAACAGTAACAGGGACCGGTTATAGATACACTGAAAGGATTTTGCTAATCCGGACGATTTCACTGGATTCAGCAGTGTTCGGATTAACGAGATTTCACTGGGTAGACGTCATACACTGTTATTATACTGTTATTCATTTAAACTCTCCATTCGTCTTGACAAAATACACCTTTGAAAGGACGTATGAGCATTTGACAAAAAATAACAACAACCTGGAAAACAATAGTAGAAAGCTTGATATTTCTGGAGACCTTCAGGAAGTCCTACTGATGCCACTGACACAGTGTTCCCCAAGTTCGGTATGACTTTTTGTAGGTCTCCAGAATCCCACGGCCATAATAAAAACAACAAACTTACGGAATCAACATATTTTCATGATTTCTCCATTACAGAATTAATACACCGAAGCATATTAGTATCTTTGAGTCAATTGAAATTATATTATATTAGGAATCGCGTTCAGAAAACACTATTTACGCATCATTGTCCTTTAGGTTTGTATAGATACACAACATCACGAAATACGGTAAGTCTATCGTGGCACGAAGTATCTCCATACAGCGAATCTTGTGTAAATCGCAACACCCTATATGAATATTAAAAATGGATTAATTCAATGAGTAAATAGAAAAACAATAGACATTACAAAATATGAGTGAATTAATCAAACGTGACCAAAGGGGAGACTGGAAACAGTCTAGAAGAGCGAGACATATTCAGTGCAAGATTGTTAACGCATCTGTGTGACCATAGAGTATGCTGGTATGTGAACTGAATTGGGACTTTTTTTAAACGATGTTTGCTTACCACTCATATACATGCGCATTAAGCCTATCAACTGAGCTTGTGAATCATATCTGTACGCCACCTACCTACAACGTCGCAGAACAAATAAGGAAACAATTTCGGGGCTCTACGGTTGCATATTTCTGTTTTAACTCGTCCTCATATGATATTAACGACGGAATTTCATGAATTTTGTCTTAAAAGTCGTTGCCCCTATGGCTTACGGCAACAAAATATCACCGAGTTGTCCACGATCTAGTGAGCGCGGCGTAATGGCTGTGTCGAGTGTATGATGCACAGCACACGCTCGGATAACCCTCACCGCAATGCGCGTAATATGCATGTAGTATAAATATATACTGTTTATAAAATTGTGAATAAACACTGATGGCTATCATTAATATTTAAGGCTGTTTAGTGGGCATTCTAGAAGTTGGTGAGTGAATAAGAAAATCTACAGCTTGCTGGAAAGTAAACTTCTGGGTTTTTTTGCATAGCGATAGGATAACGGTGTAAGAATCTTCATCGAAACGTCGCTAAATTCAATAAACAAAAAATTAATATTCATAAAGTTGTACATTTTCCTATACATTTAATGAGTTTTATCTTCGTATTTACCTTCCTGGTTTGTTGTTCAAACTTTTCGACTAATAAAATCTAACCTACCTTCAAGTGAAACACTCCGATTCCACACCTGTTTGGTTTACACAGGTTCCTGAAATTGGCAGCTTGTCCACAGACGTGAGTGAACTCTGAAACTGTGTAGCTGTGCTCCTATTCTGCTTTAGACATTCGTCTCCCACACCCACTGGTGTTGTTCAAAGTCACGTGATACCCACAATCTGTAATTTTCTTCCTTGTTAGCTTAACGTAAATATATATATCTCTCTCTTTATACATACATACATACATACATACATACACGAACACTATAGTTGCCCGTTAAGTAGGAAGTCATATAGCAACCGTAATGTGCTCTTCTTGTACACTGATCACTGTTGATATTTTGATTATTATTTTTGTTGTGATACAATGAACATTTTAGTAGGGCTTTATGGGTCGGCTGTTCGCGCCGCTTCACAGGGTATTTGGGACATAGATGTCCCAGTGTTCTGAAGGCGCATCATGTTACGTACCTTTGCAGAATGGGAATCGTTGCACAGCTGCAGTTGTCGCCGTTCGTGAGTCAGTTATGAGTTCAATTCCCATGTTTATGACGGTATCATTTACTGGTAACAATACACCTGCACATCATGACTGTAAAGAAAATGTATTGCTTTCCACGGACGGGTACACACACTAACATGTCTATCAATATCACATATTGAAATAGACCCGTGAAGACCCGGGGTAGAATAGGTGTATTATTTCTCAATTATATATTATGTTACAGAATGAAGATACAATATATTGGATTGTCGGAGGTGGACATGCGTTGTGCTTTATTTGTTTTTGAATTGAGAAAGTTACATGAGGATGAGTAATAGCTGGAAAAATTAAAACAAATTTTAAAAGAAACTTTATCTTTGTCTCACATATGTATATTACCCGTGAAGATCCGGGGTAAAATAGGTCTTCAGCAACCCATGCTTGCTGCAAAAGGTGACTATGCGTGTCGTAAGAGGCAACTAACGGGATCGGGTGGTCAGGCTCGCTGACTTGGTTGATGCATGTCATCGTATCCCAATAGCGTGGATCGATGCTCATGATGATAATTACTGGATTGTCTGGTCCAGACTCGATTATTTACAGACCGCCGTCATATAGCTAGAATATTGCTGAGTGCAGCGTTAAACAACAAACAAACATATTAAAATCGACATGAACTGTTACAGAATCATATCCGTCCTCGATTATCAAGTGTACTACATCTTCTGTCTCGTAAGTCGTTTAAGGCGCCTGAATTCGCTGCAGGGAGTACTAAAGTACAGATTCTCGTACTTTTTTGGGTTGAGTCCCGTCCGGGGTTCGAACCCGCAAATTTGCTCCTGGGCTGCTATGGCAATTGCACTGGACTATCCGTCGAAAGATATAAAGATATAAATGCCCCATAAAAGTCCATTGTCGAAAGGATCGATCGGATATTTCACCCAAAATCGGATATTTGGTACCCCTTACCAAACAGGGTTACCTACAGCTGGGTGAGACGGTTAATTGTTATCGTTATTGGTGTATAGTTATTCCCGCGATGCAATCTACCCTTTTCTATCTTCGAACGGCACCTACTATTTTGATAGTTGTTCGTTTATCAACTTTTGGTCATCGACTTCAAAGTATTTGCAAAGTTATACATCTTTATTTACTTCAAGTTTGGACACGGCTGACCCAGTCGTCAAAGGCGCCGCGATTCGCTGTGCGGAGTTGCGTCCCTTGGGCACGCCAGAAACCTATGATTGTTGGTTCGCCCCGATTATGTTTCTAGGTTTGTCAGCACCATACCCGTGCTCGTGGGTTTCACCGAAGTGGTAAACGTCTGAGACCTGCACCACTCCGGGCTTTCCTCCCACATTAAGCTGACACGCCGCGATATAACTGTAATAATGTTAAAAGCGGCGATAAACCCAACACACTCACTACTTCAATTTTGAAGCGGCCGGTTTGCAGGTATATGTGTCACCGCGACCTTTCCGTGCTTCGTACAAAGGGTCTATTAATTTGTACATTCATGATACTACGGGTAATGGCTAAGACGGCCCCGTGCCAAACGACGTGCCTTGAACGTTTTGAGTACTGTATCCTACCTTCCCATCTTCTGAACATGCTTGACTAGGTATATACAATGATTTAATGGAGGTATAATGGTACCACCTACAGTTAACTACGGTTATAACGAACACGCTTATAACGAACTGACGGATATAACGAACTTATTTTTTGGTCCCGACTACTTGCTGTAGTCATGCTGTATATATACTTATAACGAACTACGGTTATAAAGAACTAAAATAAGTAGTCCCTTTGAGTTCATTATAACCGTAGTTTACTTTATAGGATTCAGATCGGTTCATTTCTTGGAGCAGTGGACACATAGTAATCCAGAATACCCTAAAGGTGTTTTAACATTTGATCATTATGTAGTATAATGCCTCATGAAAAGTTGAAAAAATCTCTTTAATGTCCTAAAGTCTTTCATCTCCAGCAAAATGTAAGAAAATGGATAATACATATCAGTGACTGTGTAGTGGCACGCAATCCGTTATTAGAATAGAGTTATGCCCCTTTGATATCGGACACTTCAGAGAATGATAAGAACGTGCGTCGGTGCTGAGTGTGTGTTATGTTTGGGTAATATGTTGATGTCAGCTCATTTACGCTGTAAATTTCAAAATGAAATGTCAGATAAAAGTATTCGATTAGGGTTAGAAACACATTTTTAGAGAGTTTTCAGACTCCGGAGGCAAAGTATGCATGGTTTGGTACATGAATATGAATGCTAAAAAGTCCTGTGCTCTGATGGATTATGTACTACTTTGCTGTTAACATGGAACATTGATAGTGGTCTCTGGTAGTAGTACCTGAGCAACAGAGCTCACTGAGGCAACAATGCAGTTTACCGGGCACAGCCCGAGCTCTTCCATTCAGTCAATAACCGCGCTATAGTGCTACCGCTATAGTGCTACCGCTGTCTCGCTATACCGTTAGTGCCTCACGCTCAGGTGATTCTCGCTTCATGATCCAACACTCATTTTCGGTCTAGGGAAACTTACACATCCTTACGATCCAACACCCGTTTTCGGTCTTAGGGAATCTTACACATCTTTACGATCCAACACCCGTTTTCGGTCTTAGGGAAACTTACACGTCTTTACGATCCAACACCCGTTTTCGGTCTTAGGGAAACTTACACGTCTTTACGATCCAACACCCGTTTTCAGTCTTAGGGAAACTTACACGTCTTTACGATCCAACACCCGTTTTCGGTCTTAGGGAAACTTATACGTATTTACGATCCAACACCCGTTTTTGGTCTTAGGGAAACTTAGACATCTTTACGATCCAACACCCGTTTTCGTTCTTAGGAAAACTTACTCGTCTTTACAATCCATCACCCCTTTTCGTTCTTAGGGAAACTTACACGTCATTACGATCCAACACCCATTTTCGGTCTTAGGAAAACTTACTCGTCTTTACAATCCATCACCCCTTTTCGTTCTTAGGGAAACTTACACGTCATTACAATCCATCACCCCTTTTCGTTCTTAGGGAAACTTACACGTCATTACGATCCAACACCCCTTTTCGGTCCTTAGGGTTAGCTTGCTTTGGGCAAGGGTTAGCCATAATTTCTTACCTTTTCAAGTGTTAATCTAGTTAATCCGACTGGTCAGTCATGTTGACATAAACAATGGTGGGTGTGGTTTCAAGAAAAGATTAATGGGAGAGCGGACAGTGACGTCACACGCATGCGCAATTCATTGTTTTCTGAATTACGCATGCTTGTTAAGGGGGTGCTAATGACCCGATAAACGAGCACTGATTACATGTGATAGCGCTCGTGGTCCAGTGGTAGAGCGTCGGCTAATTAACGCATTAATTAGCCAAGCCGGTGAGCCGGCGAAGCGTGTTTGAGCCCCCACAGCGCTAATTGGATCTGAAAAAGTGCGCCTGGTAAAGTGCACTACTCCCCTCACTGATTCGAACGCTTCTGTGTTAGTGATTTACAAGCTACCCCTGAAGATCCCGGTTAGAATTGGCCTTCAGGTCAGAAACTCACGCTTGTAACGGGATCAGGTGGTCAGGCTCGCAGACTTGGTTGATGCATGCAAAGACGTACATCTCTATACCTCTTTGATTTTTGTCATTGTATCCCAATTTGCCTATAGATCGATGTTCATGATGTCAATTACTGCATGGTTTGTCTGATCCAGACTTGATTATTTACAGACTACTGTCATATCGCTGAAATATTGCTGAGAGCGGCATTGTACGAAAAAGAAACAAACAATAAAAAAGCAATAATTTACAAGCACGATACAAGCAGTTTATTTATAGAATAAATAATAATATGAAACCACACTAAACAGCTACACTAGGCAATAGGCAGATACAGCAGCTGGGCACCTAGGTGACTACCAACTCACTTTCATCTCATGGGAGTGCCAATCTGAGTATTTTATTAGTGGTAGTCACTGTTTATGACAAAACAAAATGCACAGATGAAAACATACATGGTACCAGGTAATCACATTGCTAGTGGAGATGTTGATCTTCTATACTATCATAAGATGCATATCGAACTTCTAAACCACTCGACCGCCTCCGTGGTCTAGTGGTAGAGCGTCCGCCTGGAGAGCGGAAGGTCCGGGGTTCGATCCCCGACCGCGTCATACCAAAAGACGTTAAAAGATGGTACTTGTTGTTACCCTGTCTGGTGCTCGGCATGAAGGGGCTAAAAACAAGGACTGGTCGGCTCGGAGTCAGTATACTGTGTCTGAGTGGGGTATTCATGTTAAACTGCGGCATGGTATCTCAGTGGGCTAGCACTCTAAATCGGCATCAGTCCGGACTAGTACAAGCAGCCACACAAACACACACACACGTACATGCACGTCGCTATATAAGTGCAATAATCTTGGACGCGACGTTAAACCCCATTTCACCTCACATCTAAACCACTCAAGCATGTTCACAGGAAATTTATGCTTGGTTCTTTATTCATGTATTACAGGATGAGAGCTGAATTGGCAGTTTTGTTGAACAAAAGATAGTAAAACAATGAGATCAAAACACCTGTCAGTCATTAGCCGGTGTAGGAGGAGTCTCTGCAGTGTGGCCAATGACAGTCAGTCGTCAAAACTGTCACATCTCGAAAAAGTGAATGTGGAAAAAAAGGAACGAAAATATGAAAGAAGTGCTGCATTGTATGTCCATGTAAGTATTGTTACGTGTCGATTCCCATATTGAAACAATTAGTTAACCCAGAAATCTGTGCATAAAAGAATTTAGTGTGAAACACCCAACAAATGGTATACAATTAACAATTGTCTTACTCAATTAACTAGGTTTAAAGGTCAATACAAATTACTGCACAGCAATTGCAATGGCAGTACAATATTTAATGGCAGTAACAAATACAAAATATGATGGCAGTGGTGATAGCAAAGAGTTCATTGATAATAATATTTACCTATCCCTAACAGTGGTCAAGCTTCCGAGATAGGACTAGGCTGGGAATCAGGGGTGATAGGTGATCTTCACACAGAAGCTGATCTTGATGTAATGTCAAATGAAATGTGAGATGACAGGCACGTGCCCGTCCCACTTATATAGTCTAACTAGCTTCCATCACTTTCAACACAGTGCCAAACCAGTCCAGAGGTCACTTGAACCACACATGTTATTCAACATGTTTCTATAATGCTTGACATCCATCCATGCTATTTAGGAAGTTTACAGATAATTCAGGCATCTAAATATCATAACTTTCTCACCACTGCTTACACTTAATAGTACTACATTCATTACAACTAATCAGTGTCTAAATACAATGCAATGATCTTCTATTGAATCCCAACAGAAACAATGTACAGGTAATACTATTATGTCTTGGTCAGACTAGGTACAGACTGTTTGGTGTGAAAAGAGTCTCTTGAAATGTCAGCACATCTTGCCCTTGTATATACATGCATTGTTTAGTATAGAAAAGTGATTTGTCAATACGAAACTTTGGCACCGTGAATCATTACACCCACTGCTGAAACCTATTGTGTTTTCAGTGGCCTTACTGCAAGAGACGATGTACGTACTGCAACTTCAACAAGTATATCGAGTAAGTATTGAGTAGACATTGAAGAGAAGCAGAGGTTTCAGTCACTGGTAAACATACAACAGAAATAATAAATTCGGGAATGTTCATGGGTCGCTGTTTGTACTGTTCAAAGCAGTGTACGAATAGCATTCCCTCCCTGTATTCCTCGAACTGCCTCATGAAGGCCCAGTGGATTGAGTGTCTTCCCACAGAGCGGAAGGTGGGTGGCTCGATCCTAGGCTGCATCATTCCAAAAGTCATTATAAGATGGCACTTGTTATTTCCCTGCCTTGCGCTCCTAATTAAGGGGTTAAAACAAGGACTGGTCACCATGGAGTCAGCTTCCTGTGTCTGGGGTATTCATGTTAAACTGTAGCATGTTCTCAGTGATCTAGCACTTTAAATCGGCTTTAGTCCGGACTAGCACACACACGCACGCACGCTATTTGACCTAACCCAACCACACACACTTGCATGTCGCTATATAAGTGCAATAATCTTGAAAGTGATGTTAAACTCCATTTCACCTCATCTCACCCTGTATTCCTCGTCACTTTGCCAAGCAGGAAGGTGTCATTAGACTTATTGTTTTGTTCCAGTCGCAATGTCAACGAGGAGAGAATGAGAGATAACCTTGTGAGGGAGACTGAAACTCTCATCAGGCTCAGTGGCGTGTCCAGCATAGCATCAATCTTCTTTGGAGGAGGTAGGAACATAGATTCTATTCAAGTAATATTAGCTAATTATGCATACAGTTTCTGGAAATTTTGGTTTTAAACCCTGATGTGATGCTCTAAGTTGAAACACATTAACAGAATGGATGTCACAATACGCATACCTCACATTTCGATGCAAATCATTATACAAAACTACCTGTGAAGATCCGGGGTAGAATAGGTCTTATGCAACCGATGCTTGCCGTAAAAAGCGACTATGCTTGTCGTAAGAGCCGACTAACAGCACCGGTGGTCAGGCTCGCTGACTTGGTTGATGCATGTCATTGTATCCCAATTGTGTGGATCTATGCTCATGATGTCAATCACTGGATTTTCTGGTCCAGACTCGATTATTTACAGACCGCCGTCATATAGCTGTAATATTGCTGAGTGCTGCGTTAAACAACAAAGAAACAAATATTATATGGACCACAATATGATACATATCACAATACTTCATTTTTTTTGTATGAAATGTTCCGTGTTCCTTGAAGCCCAGCTGACAAATTATTGTTGCTATCAACCAGTTTGTGTTTTTCTTGCATGATGGGTTAAATTCAGGCTTGTTGTAATAGTATCATGCAATCATATGGGAATGAAAGATATACTGGTAATCTATCAGGCCCGATTATTGCAAACCTTCATAAATATTACTTTATGAAAATCCGTACAGAATAGAATGTAAATTGATACATGAGTCGGCGTATTGTGTGTTGTATTGCCAGGTGTAAGGTCACAATGCATTGATACATTGGTGATTTGTAACACCCCTGGTGTACAAGCTGTTATGATCTAGGGGGGCACAGGTGGCCCAGTCGTCTAAGGCGCCGTGATTTGCTGTGCAGAGTTGTGTCCCTTGGGCACGCCAGAAACCTATGATTCTGGGTTTGAATCCTGGTTCGCCCCGATTATGTTTCTAGGTTTGTCAGCACCATACCCGTGCTCGTGGGTTTCACCGAAGTGGTAAACGTCTGAGACCTGCATCACTTCAGGCTTTCCTCCCACATTAAGCTGACACGCCGTGATATAACTGGAATACTGTTAAAAGCGGCGTTAAACCCAACTCACTCACTCACTCACTGTTATGATCTAGCTGTTGCCTTTCCCACAATAACAAGATGAGCAAAGTCATTAATGAATATTTATTTGAAGTTATGATAAGCAAGTCTTATTTTTAGAGGGGTGGAATTCACCAGTCTGCTAGCCCGGACCAGTTTTCTTAATGTTAAAGGTATCCCCAGGGTTGCTAAAATTTCAAACATTTTGGGGGGTATTGCTTTTTGTTATCATTATTCTGGCTAGTAGATGTTTTGGGTTAATTTCCATCTTTATTTGGGTAGTTAAAGCATTTGCTGTTCATGCAGTCCAGGGTTGAATCCTGCTCCTGGGTAGAATCAATCTCATAAAATCAGATCTTAGTTCTCCCTGCGGCTAAACAAAGATCTGAGGACATCCCATTACGGGTTACGTCAGACTAACCTTGCTCAAAGTTTGACCAACCAATGGAAGGACTGACAAGAAGTCGACATTAGCCAATCAGAAGGCAGCATTCTTGTGCTTTACGGCACTAATTTCAAATTGGTGACTACGCTTCGAAACATATTTTGACAAATATTCCATTAAAAATTTGAAGCCTGAACAAAAGAATGTTCTGGAATGGCTAATAGATGGCCTAGATTGTATGGATTCAGTCGTTAAACCTGTAACTATCGTTCCGAATACCCTGCGTTAAAGTTTTCCAGGTTGCATGATTAGAAATAGAAATCACATTCCAACTGTCACTTTCATTATCTGGTAAGCGATGCTCTGATTGGTCGGATGAAAGGTTGTTCTGACCTGTAATGGGATTTCCTCAGATCTTTGGTTAGCGGTAGCGAGAACTAAGATCTGATTTTAATGAGATTGGGGTAGAGTATGTGACCGGAGCCATGATGCTGATGGGATATACTCCCTCTCTTTGTGTTTGCCCCAGGGACCCCAAGTTTAGCAAGCGCAGACACGATTGCAAGTATCATTAATCAAGTCAAAGCACAGGTAACACTGCCTGACTCAGGGGAGATCACTCTTGAGGCCAATCCAACATCTCTGGAGACAAATCGCTTGAGGTTAGTTTTGTCCAATTATTTGATAATGAACAATGTCCACTTTAACCGTTTTATAAAGCTTTTTGAAGAATACAGTCAAAATATTTAAAGTATGACTTCAATTTGACAAGTGTTGGCAAGAAGTGTAGGGATATATTAAAAGTCTCAAATACCATTTTTGGCAGAGTCTCTTGTTATCCACTTGAATGCGGGGACCACACATGACCCAGTTGTTGAATATATTGCATATTCAACAGACTACTGTTGAATATATTGCATTACCGTTGAACACATCACATTACTGTTGAATATATTGCATTACCGTTGAACACATCACATTAATGTTGAACAGATCACATTACTCTTGAATATATTGCATATTCAACAGACCACTGTTGAATATATTGCATTACCGTTGAACACATCACATTACTGTTGAATATATTGCATTACTGTTGAATACATCACATTAATGTTGAATATATTGCATTACAGTTGAACACATCACATTACTGTTGAATATATTGCATTACTGTTGAATACATCACATTAATGTTGACTATATTGCATTACCATTGAACACATCACATTACTGTTGAATATATTGCATTACCATTGAACGCATCACATTACTGTTGAATATAGTGCATTATCGTTGAACACATCACATTAATGTTGAATATATTGCATTACTTTTGAAAACATTAAATTACTGTTGAATATATTGCATTACCGTTGAACACATTACATTACTGTTGACTATGTTGCATTACCATTGAACACATCATATTACTATTGAATATATTGCATTACTGTTGAATGCATCACATTACTGTTGAATATATTGGATTACCTTTGAACACATTACATTACTGTTGAATATATTGCATTACCGTTGAACACATCACATTACTGTTGAATATATTGCATTACAGTTGAATGCATCACATTACTGTTGAATATATTGGATTACCTTTGAACACATTACATTACTGTTGAATATATTGCTATACCGTTGAACACATCACATTACTGTTGAATATATTGCATTACTGTTGAAAACATCAAATTACTGTTGAATATATTGCATTACTGTTGAACACATCACATTACTGTTGACTATGTTGCTTACCATTGAACACATCAAATTACTGTTGAATATATTGCTATACCGTTGAACACATCACATTTCTGTTGACTATATTGCATTACCATTGAACACATCACATTACTGTTGAATATATTGCATTACCGTTGAACACATCACATTACTGATGAACAGATCACATTACTATTGAATATATTGCATTTCTGTTGAATATATTGCATTACCATTGAACACATCATATTACTGTTGACTATATTGCATTACCATTGAACACATCACATTACTGTTGAATATGTTGCATTACCATTGAATACATCACATTACTGTTGAATATATTGCATTACCGTTGAAAACATCACATTACTGTTGAATATATTGCATTACCATTGAACACATCACATTAATGTTGACTATATTGCATTACCATTGAACACATCACATTACTGTTGAATATGTTGCATTACCATTGAATACATCACATTACTGTTGAAATATTGCATTACCGTTGAAAACATCACATTACTGTTGAATATATTGCATTACCATTGAACACATCACATTAATGTTGACTATATTGCATTACCATTGAACACATCACATTACTGTTGAATATGTTGCATTACCATTGAATACATCACATTACTGTTGAAATATTGCATTACTGTTGAAAACATCACATTACTATTGAATATATTGCATTACTGTTGAATATATTGCTATACCGTTGAACACATCACTATTCTTTTGAACATGTCACATTTCTGTTTAACATACAGTTACACATCAACCATTTGCTGATTTTACTACACAGGCATAACTTGTTTTTTCAGAGAATTCTGTGATGCAGGTGTAAATCGACTTTCTATTGGAGTACAGGTAATGAGCTCATTGTTTTGTTTCTACTTTCCACCAAGCCTGTGTGTGTCATAGGACACATTTGGTCTCTAGTATCAGGCTGTACATAGAACACCATGGGTCTCCAGTATCAGGCTGCACATAGGACACAATGGGTCTCGAGTATCAGGCTGCACATAGGACACAATGGGTCTCCAGTATCAAGCTGTACATAGAACACAATGGGTCTGCAGTATCAGGCTGTACATAGGACACAATGGGTCTCCAGTATCAGGCTGTACATGGGACACAATGGGTCTCCAGTATCAGGCTGCACATAGGACACAATGGGTCTCCAGTATCAGGCTGTACATAGGACACAATGGGTCTCCAGTATCAGGCTGTACATAGGACACAATGGGTCTCCAGTATCAGGCTGTACATAGGACACAATGGGTCTCCAGTATAAGGCTGTACATAGGACACAACGGGTCTCCAGTATCAGGCTGTACATAGGACACAATGGGTCTCCAGTATCAGGCTGTACATAGGACACAACGGGTCTCCAGTATCAGGCTGTACATAGGACACAATGGGTCTCCAGTATCAGGCTGTACATAGGACACAATGGGTCTCCAGTAACAGGTTGTACAAAGGACACAACGGGTCTCCAGTATCAGGCTGTACATAGGACACAATGGGTCTCCAGTATCATGCTGTACATAGGACACAATGAGTCTCCAGTATCAGGCTGTACATAGGACACAATGGGTCTCCAGTATCAGGCTGTACATGGGACACAATGAGTCTCCAGTATCATGCTGTACATAGGACACAATGGGTCTCCAGTATCAGGCTATACATAGGACACAATGGGTCTCCAGTATCAGGCTGTACATTGGACACAATGGGTCTCCAGTATCAAGCTGTACATAGAACACAATGGGTCTCCAGTATCATGCTGTACGTAGGACACCATGGGTCTCCAGTATCAGGCTGCACATAGGACACAATGGGTCTCCAGTATCAAGCTGTACATAGGACACAATGGGTCTCCAGTATCAGGCTGTACATAGGACACAATGGGTCTCCAGCATCAGGCTGTACATAGGATGTGGAAATGCACATACAAGTGTTCACACTAACTGTTGAGTGGGGGGAGAGGGCACAAGTGTTCACACTGACTGTTGAGTGGGCGGAGAGGGCACAGGTGTTCACACTGACTTGAGTAGGGGGAGGGGGCACAGGTGTTCACACTGGCTGTTGAGTGGGGGGAGAGGGCACAGGTGTTCACACTGGCTGTTGAGTGGGGGAGGGGGCACAGGTGTTCACACTGGCTGTTGAGTGGGGGAGGGGGCACAGGTGTTCACACTGGCTGTTGAGTGGGGGAGGGGGCACAGGTGTTCACACTGACTGTTGAGTGGGGGGAGAGGGCACAGGTGTTCACACTGGCTGTTGAGTGGGGGAGGGGGCACAGGTGTTCACACTGGCTGTAGAGTGGGGGGAGAGGGCACAGGTGTTCACACTGACTGTTGAGTGGGGGAGGGGGCACAGGTGTTGACACTGGCTGTTGAGTGGGGGAGGGGGCACAGGTGTTCACACTGGCTGTTGAGTGGGGGAGGGGGCACAGGTGTTCACACTGACTGTTGAGTGGGGGAGGGGGCACAGGTGTTCACACTGACTGTTGAGTGGGGGAGGGGGCACAGGTGTTCACACTGGCTGTTGAGTGGGGGAGGGGGCACAGGTGTTCACACTGACTGTTGAGTGGGGGAGGGGGCACAGGTGTTGACACTGGCTGTTGAGATGGGGAGGGGTCACAGGTGGTCCAAATGTTTGAGGCGCTTGTGTGTTTGAATCTTAGATTTTCTCAGATAATGATATTATATATGTGTCTCAGCTCTATACCTGTGCATGAGGATTTCACAAAAGTGGTCATGTTGGTCTTTCCCTCCACATTAAGCTTACGTAACTAATTATATTCACTATTTCACCTGTCACATCATTGTGAAAAAGGTCATTGTTGATTGTTTGTATCTTCAGCAATGGCAAATATTGCATAAAATCAGATGAAACTAAACAGTAGAGTTTGTCATGGTATGAATATTGACATTTATTCATGGGAGCAAGTTTGATGTTATTATATATATTCTTAGCAGCAAACTACATGTGCCAGAAGTATTTGGAACACATTATTAATTATTGTCACTACTCACAACGCGTAGTTATGTAATATTTTGTGAATATTGCTATTGAGCCCTGCATCGTCCCCATTACAGTTACCCGTCCAAGGGCTATGAGGGTGATGAAAGTCTGTTCTTTAACATAGCCTTGCTCTGTGAACAGTTACCCTTTCATCATTTACCTTAGAAATGCTATTCTTTTGTTCAAGTCATTGAGACAAGACAACCTCTCCGTCCTGGGCAGGGACCACACTGTGGAGGAGGCTGAAAGGTGAGCTGGTGGTTTGACCTGGTAGAGTGGTAGAGGTTTAAATGATGAGAGGTATGAGGTTATCCATGCTGCTGACAGTGCACACACATTCGTGACCAACTTTTGTTATTCCGGGACAAGCCGGATAGCAACTCGTGCCCCTCTCGTGGCCATTTTGCGACCGGGTTCAGTCTTAGCGCAAACGGGCATATCTAAAACAATTGTCAACTCGTTGCGTAAGGGTTCACATGTATTTCCCCATGTGTTATATATATTTCAGATGCAATTTAAAGCACACCTGGACATGCAGAATTATACAGTATGATTGAACACATTTAACTGTGTCTTGGTATATTTTTAGATGCAAGACATATGTAAAATCACAATTATTTCTGAGTGATTCTTTGATGAACAACTTGAAATCATACGCGCATTCTGATTGGTTTGTCATATTTTCGCACATGACACTCATCGATAGGGGGACGAGTCATCTTACAGGTTACGGAAAGGGGTGAGTGACGACGAATGAGTGCACGCATTCGGCCTGTCAACATTTGATTTATGTGAAGCACTCTACACCTATCAGAACAGTCTGTCGGCATTCAAAATTTTGGTGCTTGTGTCATAATGAAAACAAAGAGTGAAATAGTGTGGACACTATAATTTGACAACATTTCTGTTCATTTATGGAGAGACCGCCCCCGTGGCATAGTGTTAGAGTGTCTGGAAGGTAAGAGTTCAATCCCCGGCCGCATCATACTTTACGACTTTTAAAGATGGTACTTGTTGGTACCCTGCCTGGTGCTCGGTATTAAGGTGTTAAAACAAGGAGTTGTCGGCTCGGAGTCAGTTTACTGTGACTGAGTGGGGTATTTATGTTAAAACTGCAGCTTGGTATTTCCTCTCAACACCCAGTAGATGTGCGTAGTCATGAGTTATTAATCCTTTGAAACAATAGTTGTGTTCATAGTCAAGCTATTGTTATCTAAACCCCATGAGGAGCTAGTGAGCAGTTCCAGCTATGGAAAAGATTGAACAAGAATAAGAGAAACTCCAAAATTAGTAGGAGATTATAATAAACTATATATATGTGTAATAAGATTATCAGGTGATCAAATCTTGGATTTTACATTGTGAGAAGTATCAAATATTTATTATCCATTTTTTATTATGTTCATATATATAAAATAAACTGCAAGCCTAATACACGTGTAAAAATATTCATTGTTTGTTGACAATGGTATTGCTTGGATAAGTTCATTAGGGTAGAGGGATGAATTTTTGCTATTGTGTGCCTTGATAACACTGTAGGCAAAGTGCACTGTAGGCAATAGGAGAAGACACCTCTATTTGGGAGGATAAACAGTTTTGCTCTATACTGTCATTGTGCTGTGTAGTCTTGGGGGTAGCATAGTCTTGTGGTTAAATTGTTTGTTCATCATGCTGAAGTCCTTGGTTTGATTCCCCACGGATACAATGTGTGAACCACTACTAGTGTACTCCTGCCATGACAAGGCTGGAACATTGCTTAAAGTGGCATGAAACCATATTCACTCTGTTTCTGCCTGGGGATTTCAAGTTAGAATAAGTCCCTAGAATACTAGGCTTGGCGTACAAGGCAACTTAATAGTGACATGGATTGTTGGTCATAAATTCAAACCCCGGTCCAGACTCTATTAGGGGCAGTCGGGTAGCCAAGTTGTTAAAGAGTTCACTTGTCATGCCGAAGACCCGGGTTCGAATCCTGACATGGGTACAATGTGTGAAGCCCATTTCTGGTATCCCCTGCCGTGATATTGCAGGAATATTGCTAAAAGCGGCGTAAAACCAAACTCACTCACTCACCAGACTCTATTATGTACAGGCCACCATCCTACAGCTGGAATGGTGTTGAGTGCAGCATTTAACATCAAACAACAACCCTTGGTACGCTAACGTCTCACCACCAATCTCACCATCTCACCCATCCATTTTGCAGGTGTATCAGGGAGGGTAGGGCCTTGTTTCCTGGCCGTGTGTCTGTGGATCTGATGTTTGGTCTTCCAGGACAGACTGTTCATGCCTGGCTAGCTGAGCTCCGACAAGTATGTGTACAGTCTCATTAAAATCAGATCTTAGTTCTCGCTATCGCTAAACAAAGATCTGAGGACATCCCATTACGGGTCATGTCAGACCGACCTTGCGCGAACTTTGATCGACCAATGGAATGAGCTATCAGAAGACAGCTTTCTCAAGCTTTACGGCACTAATTTCAAATTGGCGACTACGCTTCGAAGCATATTTTGACAAATTCTCGATTACAAATTTGAAACCTGAACAAAAAAATATCCTGGAATGGCTAATAGATGGTCAAGATTGTAAGGATTCAGTCGTTAAACCAGTAAGTATCTTTCGAAATACCCCATGTTAAAGTTTTCGAGGTTGCATGATGAGAAATCACATTCCAACTGTCACTTTCATGATCTGGTAAGCGACGCTCTGATTGGTCGGATGAAAGGTCGTTCTGATGTGACCCCTAATGAGATGTCTTCAGATCTTTGTTTAGCTGTAGCGAGAACTAAGATCTGATTTTAATGAGATTGGTATGTTTATAGCAGACTGGTTTGTTGGGAGACAGAATATGTGTTTAGTCATCTGCTGCTTCAGCTCATACAATTCTTTCCTGTTATAGTAGACATTTTATTCTGGACATCCAGCATGTCCAACCTATTTTTGTAACATAAAGGAATTTTATTTTTTTTCCAATATTATCCTGGAACAAATTATGTATTTAGGATAAATTCAAGATTCCCTCCCAACTGAAGAATATCAAATCCTTGTTATTTATGAAATATGGCATACATGGGCAAGGGATTTAAAATAGTGGCATCTGAACTGAGTTATTGAGTAGCTGCCTACTAGTGATAATTTCTGGTATGAATGAAGAATGTGTTCATAGTGGCTAAACTCTTTTAGGAATTATGTAATGTAACTTGATCTACATATAGATGGAGGACTAGACAAATGATGCAGAGAGAAATCCTTTAGAAACTTGTGATGACTTGTTGTTTTCTCGATATGCAGATGATAGACATATGTGACAAGCACCTGTCACTTTATCAGCTGACCCTGGAGAGAGGAACCCAGCTGTTTAAGGATGTTGGTAAACACACAGTGGTCAGTATAGCTGTTTAAGGATGTCGGTAAACACACAGTGGTCAGTATAGCTGTTTAAGGATGTTGGTAAACACACAGTGGTCAGTATAGCTGTTTAAGGATGTCAGTAAACACACAGTGGTCAGTATAGCTGTTTAAGGATGTCGGTAAACACACAGTGGTCAGTATAGCTGTTTAAGGATGTCGGTAAACACACAGCTGTCAGTATAGCTGTTTAAGGAAGTTGGTAAACACACAGTGGTCAGTATAGCTGTTTAAGGAAGTTGGTAAACACAGTGGTCAGTATAGCTGTTTAAGGAAGTTGGTAAACACACAGTGGTCAGTATAGCTGTTTAAGGATGTCGGTAAACACACAGTGGTCAGTATAGCTGTTTAAGGATGTCGGTAAACACACAGGGGTCAGTATAGCTGTTTAAGGAAGTTGGTAAACACACAGTGGTCAGTATAGCTGTTTAAGGAAGTTGGTAAACACACAGTGGTCAGTATAGCTGTTTAAGGATGTCGGTAAACACACAGTGGTCAGTAAAGCTGTTTAAGGATGTCGGTAAACACACAGTGGTCAGTATAGCTGTTTAAGGAAGTTGGTAAACACACAGTGGTCAGTATAGCTGTTTAAGGAAGTTGGTAAACACACAGTGGTCAGTATAGCTGTTTAAGGAAGTTGGTAAACACACAGTGGTCAGTATAGCTGTTTAAGGAAGTTGGTAAACACAGTGGTCAGTATAGCTGTTTAAGGAAGTTGGTAAACACACAGTGGTCAGTATAGCTGTTTAAGGATGTCGGTAAACACACAGTGGTCAGTATAGCTGTTTAAGGATGTCGGTAAACACACAGTGGTCAGTATAGCTGTTTAAGGAAGTTGGTAAACACACAGTGGTCAGTATAGCTGTTTAAGGATGTCGGTAAACACACAGTGGTCAGTATAGCTGTTTAAGGATGTCGATAAACACACAGTGGTCAGTATAGCTATTTAAGGATGTCGGTAAACACACAGCTGTCAGTATAGCTGTTTAAGGAAGTTGGTAAACACAGTGGTCAGTATAGCTGTTTAAGGAAGTTGGTAAACACAGTGGTCAGTATAGCTGTTTAAGGAAGTTGGTAAACACACAGTGGTCAGTATAGCTGTTTAAGGATGTCGGTAAACACACAGTGGTCAGTATAGCTGTTTAAGGAAGTTGGTAAACACACAGTGGTCAGTATAGCTGTTTAAGGATGTCGGTAAACACACAGTGGTCAGTATAGCTGTTTAAGGAAGTTGGTAAACACACAGTGGTCAGTATAGCTGTTTAAGGATGTCGGTAAACACACAGTGGTCACATCAGTACAACAGGGGAATGAGAGCTTGACCACTGCAATGATATTTTTGCAACCTTTGAAAAAAGCTCCTTTAGATCCATGTTGATTCATAAGTCCTCCTTTAGAAAGTCTTCAATAAAAGAAGAAGATGTCTCTATGTAATATCAATTAGGCTGACTTGTATCAGGCACTATGTCTTGATGTGACTGTTTCTAGCGGATGCCGTCCCCCGATGATGTGGCGACCATGTACAAGGCTGCGGTCCAGGTAGGCAGATATATGTGAAAACAATAGTACTGAACTGTCCTGTAACGAGGGGACTGTACTGTGCTGTAACCATGGTACTATGCTGTGCTGTACCCAGGACACTGTCCTGTGCTGTAACCAGGGTACTGTCCCATGCTGTAACCATGGTACTATGCTGTGCTGTACCCAGGGTACTATGCTGAGCTATAAACAGGGTACTGTACTGTGCTGTAACCAGGGTGCTGTACCCAGGGTACTGTGCTGTGCTGTACCCAGGGTACTATGCTGAGCTATAAACAGGGTACTGTCCTGTGCTGTACCCAGGGTACTGTGCTGTGCTGTACCCAGGGTACTGTCCTGTGCTGTACCCAGGGTACTGTGCTGTGCTGTACCCAGGGTACTGTGCTGAGCTATAAACAGGGTACTGTCCTGTGCTGTAACCAGGGTACTGTCCCGTGCTGTACCCAGGGTACTGTGCTGTGCTGTAACCAGGGTACTGTACTGTGCTGTAACCAGGGTACTATGCTGAGCTATAAACAGGGTACTGTCCTGTGCTGTACCCAGGGTACTGTGCTGTGCTGTACCCAGGGTACTGTGATGTGCTGTAACCAGGGTACTATGCTGAGCTATAAACAGGGTACTGTCCTGTGCTGTAACCAGGGTACTGTCCCGTGCTGCACCCAGGGTACTGTGCTGTGCTGTAACCAGGGTACTGTACTGTGCTGTAACCAGTGTGCTGTGCTGTAACCAGGGTACTGTGCTGTGCTGTGCTGTAACCAGGGTACTGTACTGTGCTGTAACCAGGGTGCTGTAACCAGGGTACTGTGCTGTGCTGTAACCAGGGTACTATGCTGAGCTATAAACAGGGAAATGTCCTGTGCTGTAACCAGGGTACTGTCCTGTGCTGTAACCAGGGTACTGTGCTGTGCTGTAACCAGGGTACTGTGCTGTGCTGTAACGAGGGTACTATGCTGAGCTATAAACAGAGTACTGTCCTGTCCTCTAACCAGGGTACTATCCTGTGCTGTAACCAGGGTACTGTGCTGTGCTGTGACCAGGGTACTCCCCTGTCCTGTAACCAGGGTACTGTGATGTGATGTAACCAGGGTACTGTGATGTGCCGTACCCTGGACACTGTCCTCTGCTGGTGGCCCAGTCGTCTAAGGTGCAATGATTCCCTGTGCAGAGTCCCTTGGGCATGCCAGAAAAATATGATTGTGGGTTCGAATCCTGGTTCGCCCTTATTATATTTCTAGGTTTGTCAGCACCATACCCGTGCTTGTGGGTTTCACCGAAGTGGTAAACGTCTGAGACCTGCATCACTTCAGGCTTTCCTCCCACATTAAGCTGACATGCCACAATATAACTGTAATACTGTTAAAAGTGGCATTAAACCCAACTCACTCACTCACTCACTGTCCTGTGCTGTAACCAGGGTACTGTACTCTGTTGTATCCAGGGTACTGTGCTATGCTGTAACCAGGGTACTGTGCTGTAACCAGGGTACTGTGTTGTGCTGTAACCAGGGTACTGTACTCTGTTGTATCCAGGGTACTGTGCTATGCTGTAACCAGGGTACTGTGCTGTAACCGGGGTGCTGTGCTGTGCTGTGCTGTGCTGTAACCAGGGTACTGTGTTGTGCTGTAACCAGGGTACTGTGCTGTAACCAGGGTGCTGTGCTAAGCGATAGGCTGAGAAATGAACAATATATATAGGCTAAAAGATGAATGGTAGTCAAACTGAGAGGCTAGCTGAGACATATCAGAGAAATGATTACATAAACAATATGTGATCATACAAGGAAAGAAAATGATTTGCAGAAAATATATTTTACATTTCAGATTCTCTCCGATCATGAATACAAGAGATATGAAGTGTCAAACTTTGCAAAACAGGTATGAAAAACATACATATAATGAAGCTTAATCAACAAGAGTGTATTCGAATACACAATGCCATTTACAAAGTGGTCAAATGTAAGAAATGTTATATTTCCGGGATTGGAACCCACCCTTGCCAGAGTGAGGCACCTGATCGCCAGCACACAAAGTCAGCGATCTAACCCACTCAGCCACCGAGGCTTCCACATAAATGGAAGTCCGACAACTGGTAGTCTAGATAACGTACTTTGAGTACCCCTCTGACAAGTGTAAATTGGCACGGCTCCCATGGCCGAAGCTATGAATACACAATGCCATTTAGAAAGTGGTCAATTGTAATACATGTTATATTTGGGATAACACTTTCTGGACAGGACTCAACCCAAAAATGTACGAGAATCTGTACTTTACTAAGAAAGTGTTATCCCAAATATAACATTTGTTATAAGAGTGTATTCCACTCAGCACTAACATGTACTTGAAGAATAATAGTGAGTGAGTTTGGTTTTACATCGCTTTTAGCAATAAGCAAGCATTATCACGACAGGGGACACCAGAAATGGGTTTCACACATTGTACCCATGTCAGGATTCGAACCTGGGTCCTTGGCGTGACGGGCGAACGATTTAACCACTAGGCTACCTGACCGCCCCTGAAGAATAATAGAAAAGAAAGTATAAGAAATGAAGCATATATTTATTGTCATTTCCGGTATTTATTGAGTTACAAATAAATTGACCAAGGGCTACTTGCTTATTGCATGTTAACCAATACTGGGGCTGTTGTTTAACCTGGTGGTTTTGATGTTGGCTGATCATGGTGAAGGCCCTGGCACAAGTCCCCATGGGTACCTGTGTGTGTTGTAGTCAGAACGGCCTCAAAACCCTAAGTCAAGACATCTTCCTGATCCCAGAGTGAGCCCATATTTATTGTGTGACAGAGGGTCAGTGGTATGTTTTTGTCCTTTGTCCGTGATAGTCTGTCTGTCTGTCTGTCTGTCTGTCTATGGACCAGTTCGTCTAAGTTATTTAGATTCTAAATACGCATGGACAGCCATTTTGCAACAATAGTTTAGAGATTCAAAATTAAACACAAACGTGTCTTCAGGAAGATTAATTTCTCTGTAGCCAATTATGAAGGTAACCAGTTGTGACTAGTGAGCTGCGATAAGCACCTGTAACTTTTCATACCTTAGATAGGATATGAAGTATGTTGATAGGATCATAATATTCGAGTCCAATAAAATTCATATAATCACTAAATGTAGGATAGTATTGTTAAGACTTTGTGTTGGCTACTTTTTTTTCTTCTTCAAAAACCTGGTTGGGTAGGGTGGCCCTGGGGGGTCCTGGACCCCTCACATAACACACACACACACCACCAACCCCCCAACCCCACCCCCCACCCCCCATCACTCCTCCCCACTTCTGACGCCTATGCAAAATAATCTCTTTGTTGTCCTTTCAGAATAGTTAGAATAGTTAAATGTTAAAGGTATTCCTTGTTATATGGACAATGTAGACCTAATGTGACTTAATAATTGAGTTTGTTGTCTATATTTTTTGTGTGGCCCTTTTGACTTTCTTGTTGAGGCCATTGTGACTTTACCTTTTGAGGTTTTGAGGCCTTCTGACATACGGCCGTTTTGACCTCCCTTCTGTGTGAAGCCAATTCTTGGTCCCCAACCCCCCCCACCCCCCACCCCCCCACCCCCCCCCCACCCCCCACCAGCTGTGATCATGAAAGAAGATGCATCAGAGATCAAACCAAACTCATTCACTAATACTTCTGCTTAAACTAAACTCTTTGACTAAATTTGAGTTCCGAGAGGGTCTGTTTTGGACAGACCTACTGTGTGCCTAATTCTCATTATAGAACAATTCAATGAAACTAGATAAATAACAACACTTATCTTGATAATAATGTCTTTCACCAGGAAGCATACAGCACCCACAACCTGACCTACTGGAGAGGGATGCCATATATAGGTGTTGGGCCAGGTAGGTCACAAGCACACTGAGATTCAGGATATTAGTCAGCAAAAACAAGTTCAAGGTGCGGTGCAGAGTTGCATCCCTATGGATCTGATATTTACCTTGATCATGATACTTGGTTTGCCAGCATCATGCTGGAACCATCTTCCTGAGGCACGGGAGTCAATTGACTGTAAATGTCCAGTTCCCACCCTTGCTGAACTAGGCTGGAATTATGGACTAAAAGGTCTATGTATAGTCAAGTCAAAATCGTATAATGAAATCGACATCCGGTTCATAAACAACATGGCGACTGACGTGCAGATTTTGGTCGATTGCAGGATTTTCTGAGCATGTGTACCGTTAACAGATATTTTTCAAATCTTTTCATGTTTATAATCCAGGTGCTCAAGTGATTTGATGCACTTTGCAAAGTAAGGCACATTTTATTTGGTCTTGACTTGGTGCTACCATTTTGTTTGAAGCAAATGCATGTGATATGAGAGGTGGAATCTGATTGGTCAATAGGAGGACATAGAAGGAACATAACTTGTAATAGCCACTGGTGGTGCTATGATCGAGCCACGGAATTCCAGCCTAGTTCGGCAAGGGTGGAGGATCATCACCTGGAGGATCATCACTGTCATCACCTGGAGGATCCACTCTGTCATCACCTGGAGGATCCACTGTCATCACCTAGGGGATCCACTGTCATCACCCGGGGAATTCTCACTGTCATCACCTGGAGGATCCACTCTGTCATCACCTGGGGAATCCTCTCTGGCATCACCTGGAGGATCCACTGTCATCACCTGGGGAACCCTCTCTGGCATCACCTGGAGGATCCACTGTCATCACCTGGGGAACCCTCTCTGGCATCACCTGGAGGATCCACTGTCATCACCTGGAGGATCCACTGTCATCACTTGGGGAATTCTCACTGTCATCATCTGGAGGATCCACTCTGTCATCACCTGGAGGATCCACTGTCATCACCTGGGGAACCCTCTCTGGCATCACCTGGAGGATCCACTGTCATCACCTGGGGAATTCTCACTGTCATCACCTGGAGGATCCACTGTCATCACCTGGGGGGTCAACTGTCATCACCTGGGGAATCCTCTCTGGCATCACCTGGAGGATCCACTGTCATCACCTGGAGGATCCACTGTCATCACCTGGGGAACCTTCTCTGGCATCCCCTGGAGGATCCACTGGCATCACCTGGAGGATCCACTGTCATCACCTGGGGAACCCTCTCTGGCATCACCTGGAGGATCCACTGTCATCACCTGGAGGATCCACTGTCATCACCTGGAGGATCCACTGTCATCACCTGGGGAATTCTCACTGTCATCACCTGGAGGATCCACTGTCATCACCTGGAGGATCCACTGTCATCACCTGGAGGATCCACTGTCATCACCTGGGGAACCCTCTCTGGCATCACCTTCAGGATCCACTGTCATCACCTGGGGAATCCTCTCTGGCATCACCTGGAGGATCCCCTCTCATCACCTGGAGGATCCACTCTCATCACCTGGGGGATCCACTCTGGCATCACCTGGGGGATCCACTGTCATCACCTAGGGAATCCTCTCTGGCATCACCTGGAGGATCCTAGGGATTTATCTTTACCTGCTCAGAGCCCAATATTTGGCCCCAAGCTGGCAGCCAATGTCATTAAAAATACCCGATTTGGAATTATAAATTTCCCAATTCATGTAATAAGTATTAAATAAGGTAACCTGTATTGTTAACAAGACCAATAAATAGGTAGAGATTTTGATGCTTAGTTTCATAATATTGCATTGAATTCCATATCAAAATACAATGTTAATTTAAGAAAATAAGAACTATGATAAAAAAAAAAGAGAGACTTTTTTCCAAATTGCTAGTCAGGGGCAAGATAACTCTTAGACAATGCTAATTACTGCTGTGTCCATCATGTCCTAGGTGCCCATGGCAGGTTCTACGTGGCGGGTACCAGACAGGCGCGGGTGCAGACCCTGGAGCCAGACATCTGGATGAGGGAGGTTGAGGCCTTCGGGAACGCTACGCGCAAGATAGTTCCACAGACACTTCTAAATCAGTAAGCTGGTGACGATGCTCTGAAAATATTGACTTGCCCAGTGTTTGAAATAAGCCCCTGCCCATAGGCCTGTGGCAGGTAGATCTTGTGTTGGGCTCATGGTTTCAAACGTGTATGGGTCCTTATGCCTGCAGTGACTCTATCTATGTGTTTATTTTTTTTCTTTCACAATAAGCTGCATTGTTTTGAATGAGGGCCAAAAGAGCTTAGTTGGGGTCTGCAGCTTCTAATGCAATTTCTTTATTTCCGACACTGAACCTGACCAAGGAAAATAGAACCATTAATTTTCCAAGATGATTCAAACCAAAACATCATTTGATAAATGACAAGGATTTGTTTGATGTGTTAGGAACGTACAATATAGAATTTTTTTCCACTTGATAAATATTGACACATCCTTGTGTAGAAAAGAAACTCCAAGATAAGAAGTCCTTCGTTTAGATTCAAACTCACAGCCATAGCCCTTTCTGGGAGCCCTCTCCACTATAAAGATACTTACTGACTGTGAAGGAGTTTTGAGACAAGCAAGGGAGGTAACTCATGTTGCCTTAAAGTAGTATTCTGAACAGACTCAGAGTTTCTTGAGTTGCTTTGATTTGTTACAATGGGAAGAGAAAAAAACAGTTGCATTTGTTTTAGTTTTTATAATTTCCAAATGGACCTAAACAAAGTAATGAATTGGTAAATGAATGATTGTATGAAGAAAGATACTTTCAAGTGTGGACGTAGTGAGAAAGGTGACGTGTTGCTCTTCTGTCCAGTTTGGAGGAGATGGTGGCGGTAGGACTTAGGACAGGCTGGGGGATATCACATGACAGATGGGAGGAGGTTTCTCCTCTTGGTCTTCAGGACATCTTCCATCACTCAGGCACCATCCAGTCTTACCGGGACCAGGGCTTGCTGCACCTCGACACCCGGTACAGGCGTTTCTTGTTAAAGAGAACTTCAGATGCTTTTAGTATTAATTAGTTGGGGTTTTTTCTCCCAAACCATAGGCTCATGGAAATATAGTAGATATTGCATAAAAAACATGTTTTATTTAAACTAATGTGAAATCTTAAAATAATTGTTAATGAGTCTCCTCTGGCAAGAGATTTTGTTTGAAATATGCTTCTGTTCACCAGCAGTGAAGGGGTACCTGGTAGGAGGAGATGGTAATGGGACTGTTTATCTCTTAATGACTCATCAGCCAGCTTGGGGTATATAAAGCCAGGTCACTCACTTTGGCATTCTTGCCGTTAAAGGCGACTATGCTTGTCGTAAAAGGTGACTAATGGGATCGGGTGGTCAGACTCGCTGACTTGGTTGATGCATGTCATCGTATCCCAGGTTGATGCATGTCATCGTATCCCAATTGCGTGGATCGATGCTCATGATGTCAATCACTGGATTGTCTGGTCCAGACTCGATTATTTATAGACCGCTGTCATATAGCTGGAATATTGCTGAATGTGGCGTTAACCAACCAACCAACCAACCAACCAACCACTTTGGGCTTCTTATTGGATCAAAGTAGGACTCACTGTGTGGGCTGATTCTGAATTGTCAGTGCTCGCCTTGATTTAGTGTAGTTGCTGCTGTGTATCATCTTTGCAAGTTTATGTAGGAATCAACTGTATGAATATATATTCATTGTGACCATGTATCATTTCAGAGGACTTCGAGCTTCAGACACTGGGCTGGATGTTTTGGATACCTTGATACCATCATTGTTGTTACAGCTGGACTTGGCTTTCAAACCTAGTGTGACATGACACGCCCTGAGACAATCACTGTTACAGCTGGACTTGGCCTTCAAGCCTAGTGTGACATGACACGCCATGAGACAATCCCTGTTACAACTGGACTTGGCCTTCAAACCTAGTGTGACATGACACGCCTTGAGACAATCCCTGTTACAACTGGACTTGGCCTTCAAGCCTAGTGTGACATGACACGCCATGAGACAATCACTGTTACAGCTGGACTTGGCCTTCAAGCCTAGTGTGACATGACACGCCCTGAGACAATCACTGTTACAGCTGGACTTGGCCTTCAAACCTAGTGTGACATGACACGCCCTGAGACAATCACTGTTACAGCTGGGCTTGGCCTTCAAGTCTAGTATGACATGACACGCCATGAGACAACCACTGTTACAGCTGGACTTGGCCTTCAAGCCTAGTGTGACATGACAGGCCATGAGACAACCACTGTTACAGCTGGACTTGGCTTTCAAACCTAGTGTGACATGACACGCCCTGAGACAATCACTGTTACAGCTGGACTTGTCCATCAAGCCTAGTGTGACATGACACGCCATGATACAATCACTGTTACAGCTGGACTTGGCCTTCAAATCAAATGTGACATGACACGCCATGAGACAACCACTGTTACAGCTGGACTTGGCCTTCAAGCCTAGTGTGACATGACACGCCATGAGACAATCACTGTTACAGCTGGACTTGGCCTTCAAGCCTAGTGTGACATGACACGCCATGAGACAACCACTGTTACAGCTGGACTTGGCTTTCAAACCTAGTGTGACATGACACGCCCCGAGACAATCACTGTTACAGCTGGGCTTGGCCTTCAAGTCTAGTGTGACATGACACGCCATGAGACAATCACTATTACAGCTGAGCTTGGCCTTCAAACCTAGTGTGACATGACACGCCATGAGACAATCACTGTTACAGCTGGACTTGGCCTTCAAATCAAACGTGACATGACACGCCATGATACAATCACTGTTACAGCTGGACTTGGCCATCAAGCCTAGTGTGACATGACACGCCATGATACAATCACTGTTACAGCTGGACTTGGCCTTCAAATCAAATGTGACATGACACGCCATGAGACAATCACTGTTACGGCTGGACTTGGCCTTCAAACCTAGTGTGACATGACACGCCCTGAGACAATCACTGTTACAGCTGGACTTGGCCTTCAAGCCTAGTGTGACATGACACGCCATGAGACAATCACTGTTACAGCTGGGCTTGGCCTTCAAAGCCTTGTGTGACATGACACGCCATGATACAATCACTGTTACAGCTGGACTTGGCCTTCAAATCAAACGTGACATGACACGCCATGAGACAATCACTGTTACGGCTGGACTTGGCCTTCAAACCTAGTGTGACATGACACGCCATGAGACAATCACTGTTACAGCTGGACTAGGCCTTCAAACCTAGTGTGACATGACACGCCATGAGACAATCACTGTTACAGCTGGACTAGGCCTTCAAACCTAGTGTGACATGACACGCCATGAGAAAATCACTGTTACAGCTGGACTAGGCCTTCAAACCTAGTGTGACATGACACGCCATGAGACAATCACTGTTACAGCTGGACTTGGCCTTCAAACCTAGTGTGACATGACACGCCATGAGACAATCACTGTTACAGCTGGACTTGGCCTTCAAACCTAGTGTGACATGACACGCCATGAGACAATCACTGTTACAGCTGGACTAGGCCTTCAAACCTAGTGTGACATGACACGCCATGAGACAATCACTGTTACAGCTGGACTTGGCCTTCAAATCAAACGTGACATGACAGGCCATGAGACAATCACTGTTACAGCTGAGCTTGGCCTTCAAACCTAGTGTGACATGACACGCCATGAGACAATCACTGTTACAGCTGGACTTGGCCTTCAAATCAAACGTGACATGACAGGCCATGAGACAATCACTGTTACAGCTGAGCTTGGCCTTCAAACCTAGTGTGACATGACACGCCATGAGACAATCACTGTTACAGCTGGACTTGGCCTTCAAATCAAACGTGACATGACACGCCATGATACAATCACTGTTACAGCTGGACTTGGCCATCAAGCCTAGTGTGACATGACACACCATGATACAATCACTGTTACAGCTGGACTTGGCCTTCAAATCATATGTGACATGACACGCCATGAGACAATCACTGTTACAGCTGGACTTGGCCTTCAAATCAAACGTGACATGACACGCCATGATACAATCACTGTTACGGCTGGGCTTGGCCTTCAAGCCTAGTGTGACATGACACGCCATGATACAATCACTGTAACAGCTGGACTTGGCCTTCAAATCAAATGTGACATGACACGCCATGAGACAATCACTGTTACGGCTGGACTTGGCCTTCAAACCTAGTGTGACATGACACGCCATTAGACAATCACTGTTACAGCTGGACTTGGCCTACAGATCTAACGTGACATGACACGCCATGAGACAATCACTGTTACAGCTGGACTCAGCCTTCAAATCAAACGTGACATCACACGCCATGAGACAATCACTGTTACAGCTGGACTTGGCCTTCAAACCTAGTGTGACATGACACGCCCTGAGACAATCACTGTTACAGCTGGACTTGGCCTTCAAACCTAGTGTGACATGACACGCCCTGAGACAACCACTGTTACAGCTGGACTTGGCCTTCAAGCCTAGTGTGACATGACACGCCATGATACAACCACTGTTACAGCTGGACTTGGCCTTCAAGCCTAGTGTGACATGACACGCCATGAGACAATCACTGTTACAGCTGGGCTTGGCCTTCAAAGCCTTGTGTGACATGACACGCCATGATACAATCACTGTTACAGCTGGACTTGGCCTTCAAATCAAACGTGACATGACAGGCCATGAGACAATCACTGTTACAGCTGGACTTGGCCTTCAAACCTAGTGTGACATGACACGCCATGAGACAATCACTGTTACAGCTGGACTAGGCCTTCAAACCTAGTGTGACATGACACGCCATGAGACAATCACTGTTACAGCTGGACTAGGCCTTCAAACCTAGTGTGACATGACACGCCATGAGACAATCACTGTTACAGCTGGACTAGGCCTTCAAACCTAGTGTGACATGACACGCCATGAGACAATCACTGTTACAGCTGGACTTGGCCTTCAAACCTAGTGTGACATGACACGCCATGAGACAATCACTGTTACAGCTGGACTTGGCCTTCAAACCTAGTGTGACATGACACGCCATGAGACAATCACTGTTACAGCTGGACTAGGCCTTCAAACCTAGTGTGACATGACACGCCATGAGACAATCACTGTTACGGCTGGGCTTGGCCTTCAAGCCTAGTGTGACATGACACGCCATGAGACAATCACTGTTACAGCTGGACTTGGCCTTCAAATCAAACGTGACATGACACGCCATGATACAATCACTGTTACGGCTGGGCTTGGCCTTCAAGCCTAGTGTGACATGACACGCCATGATACAATCACTGTTACAGCTGGACTTGGCCTTCAAATCAAATGTGACATGACACGCCATGAGACAATCACTGTTACGGCTGGACTTGGCCTACAGATCTAACGTGACATGACACGCCATGAGACAATCACTGTTACAGCTGGACTTGGCCTTCAAATCAAACGTGACATGACACGCCATGAGACAATCACTGTTACGGCTGGACTTGGCCTTCAAACCTAGTGTGACATGACACGCCATGAGACAATCACTGTAACAGCTGGGCTTGGCCTTCAAGCCTAGTGTGACATGACAAGCCATGAGACAACCACTGTTACAGCTGGACTTGGCCTTCAAGCCTAGTGTGACATGACACGCCATGAGACAATCACTGTTACAGCTGGGCTTGGCCTTCAAGCCTTGTGTGACATGACACGCCATGAGACAATCACTGTTACAGCTGGACTTGGCCTTCAAATCAAATGTGACATGACACGCCCTGAGACAATCACTGTTACGGCTGGACTTGGCCTTCAAACCTAGTGTGACATGACACGCCATGAGACAATCACTGTTACAGCTGGACTAGGCCTTCAAACCTAGTGTGACATGACACGCCATGAGACAATCACTGTTACAGCTGGACTTGGCCTTCAAACCTAGTGTGACATGACACGCCATGAGACAATCACTGTTACAGCTGGACTAGGCCTTCAAACCTAGTGTGACATGACACGCCATGACACAATCACTGTTACAGCTGGGCTTGGCCTTCAAGCCTAGTGTGACATGACACGCCATGAGACAATCACTGTTACAGCTGGACTTGGCCTTCAAATCAAACGTGACATGACAGGCCATGAGACAATCACTGTTACAGCTGAGCTTGGCCTTCAAACCTAGTGTGACATGACACGCCATGAGACAATCACTGTTACAGCTGGACTTGGCCTTCAAATCAAACGTGACATGACACGCCATGAGACAGATGGACTTGGCCTTCAAGCCTAGTGTGACATGACACGCCATGAGACAACCACTGTTACAGCTGGACTTGGCCTTCAAATCATATGTGACATGACACGCCATGAGACAATCACTGTTACGGCTGGACTTGGCCTTCAAACCTAAAGTAAAATGGCAGCCATGAACCATTCCCCAAGAACATGTATACTGCAGACGTGGTTCATGTACATACTCGGCCATCATTCAACCGAATATTGCCGACTGGACTGAATTGGATACTTTTTTTCTGAATAAAGTTGTTCACAGGCAGGAATATAATCGACATTAGTTACTATATACATCACTTATATTCACTAGAAATGTTTGTTTGTTGTTTAACGCCAACTCAGCAATATTCCAGCTATATGACGGCGGTCTGTAAATAATCAAGTCTGGGCTAGACAATCCAGTGTGACATCATGAGCATCGATCCACACAATTGGGAGGCGATGCTATGCATCAACCAAGTCAGCTAGCCTGACCATCCAATCCCGTTAGTTGCCTCTTATGACAAGCATGGTCGCCTCTTACAGCAAGCATGGGTTGCTGAAGACCTGTAAAATTCTCAGCTGGAACCCTGTGTTGAAGTGAGTTCTTGTTGATGCACTGTTATCACATGCCTGTGTCAGTTGTTGCAGCTTCCATATGACTGTGTTCTTGTGCTGTTTCTAAGAGACTGGGATGCTGCATAATGGCTGAGAAGATCCAGGGTAGAAGTGTAGGAGAAACCATGTCTCCGAGGGATTACTAGAGATTGTAAACCCTCACATGAGAGAACGTCCCGAGGGGGCCGTAGGAAAACATTTGTCATTTGATTTTACATTTCATTACATGTTACAATCTGAACGGAAGTTATGATGATTGTAAGCCCTCCTGCGAGGTGTTACAAACGTTGTAATACCTCCTACGAGGTGTTACCACAATTTCAAAAACTCCATATCGAGTTACACAAACAGCCAGTAGGTTTATTAAAGTCTTCAGCAACCCATGCTTGTAAGAGGCGACAATGCTTGTCATAAGAGGTGACTAACGGATCTGGTGGTCAGGCTCGCTGACTTGGTTGATGCATGTCATCATATACCAATTGTGTGTATCAATGCTCATGATAACCATCACTGGATTGTCTGGCCCAGACTTGATTAATTACAGAAAGCCGTTCACACGTTTCTAAAACGTCTTTGTAAGTGAGTGTTGGTATTGGGGTGACGTTTATTATGACGTTTGATACCATGTCTTGACTAATCGGAATCATTTGGTTACATGTTTTCAACACAATAACAAATGGACTAATTGACCCGTGAAGATCCTGGGTAGAATAGGTCTTCAGCAACCCATGCATGTTTTTTTCTTGGGAACCAAAACAGTCGGGGGCCACGGAAGAACTAGGTCAAGACCGTATTTGACAAGCACGACATCAGCTACAAGTAGTGTGGTCATTTTGTTACAGAGCCATTGGTATTACAGGGATACGATGAAGGACATTGGCGAATTAACACTGAGAGTTTGTCATTCGTTTTCAACAACAAAAACAACAACAAATTGACTAATTGTTGACAAGCAAACGTATAGTTTCCCGAATTACATCATTGCATATTTTACTGTATTAGAATTGTGTACGTGTCTGAGGTATGAGTGAGTGAGTGAGTACGCCGCTTTTAGCAACATTCCAGCAACATCACGGCGGGGGACACCAGGAATTGGCTTCACACATTGTACCCATGTCGGAAATCGAACCCGGGTCTTCGGCGTGACGAGCGATCGCTTTAACCACTAGGCTACCCGACCGCCCCATCTGAAGCATGAATGCATCATTTGGTACACATTAAATAATGTCTGTTGGAATAATCAAGACGTGCCAAAGTCTACATGCACAATCCAAACATAACCAGAAAGAACGCACCACAATATCAATACACCTCAACCTACTTCACATGATGCCCCTGAAGGTCCCGGTTAGAGTAGGCCTCATCCCCTGATGGTAAGAGCGGACTGACGGGATCCGGTGGTCATGTTGCATGTCATAGTATCCTTCTTGTGATATCACTGGATTACCTGGTCCTAACAGACCGCCGTCACTCGGCTGGAATTTTGCTGAGTGCGGCGTTAAACAAACATAAATATAGACGTGAACCACCATGAGAAAGGCCTATAAAAGAAGGCGGTGCTGTCGGTCGCTAAAAGGTGTGTTAACCTTAAGGACAAGGAGCAGCGATTTGAAGCAGAGAATCGCAGTCGGTTATAGTTAGGGCATTGTGTCCCAGAGTACAATTTCTATATTTTGATATCGGTACCAACAGCATGGTGTTGTACGTGGCCGACGCAAGACCGGTCGATCCTGTGTTACAATGGCTGCCCATGACCGCTTCATACGCCTATGTCATTTTCGACAAAGGTGTACAATTCCAGTATTGCGAAAGATATCTAAACCAGCCAGTGCGGAACCACCGTCGTGGGGTATAGTCTATAGGTCTCCGAGCACGACGGCTTGTCAGAGGTGGTGTTTTGACGCATCAACATCGTGAACTGCTATGTGTTAAGCACAAAAGTATGGACTAACCAGTAAAGGAGAACTGTTTGGTTCAGCGACGATTTAAGATTAATGCTGCATCAGAGTCGCCATCAACGTTTTGCTGTCAATTCAACTGCATACGGGAGGTCGACAGATTTAGCGATGGCAGCGTATTGATTTGGGCGGAAATGTCCCGCAGTGGTAGAACAAACATCATAAAAGTGCAGGGCAACTTAACGATCCAACGCTTTTCTTGTGAAAACTACAGCTGCACATCGCTTCCTTTGCTAAGGTCATCTTTCAAAACGAACGCTTACATCGCGTGAAACAGCAGCATTCCTAGATTTGATTTGTTTATATTTCAACTACATGACGGCGGTCTGTAAATAATATCGAGTCTGGTCCAGACAATCAAGCTATTTACGTCATGCGCATCGACCTACGCAATTGGGAAAAGACAAGCATCAACAATGTCAGATAGCCTGACCACACGATCCGATAGTCGCCTCTTACAAGCATGGGTTGCTGAAGACCAATTCTAACCCGGATCCTCACGGGTTCCTAGAATCAGCCTCGGTACTTGACGGGGACACGCAATAACAGCTCTCCATGATAACTTTCGGTGTCCGCTCGCTGTGGTCTTGTTTGCAATTATAGCATCACTCAAATGTTATGTGTTGTAGTAAGTGTGCAACTACCCCAAACACAAAAAACTGGTCCTGCGTTTGATTTGTTAGTATATTATGTAAATGTCTTTAAAGACCCCAGAAGTGGGCTTTACATGTCATTCCATGTAGAAAAATTGGGTTCACTAGGCTACCCCCACCGCCCCAACTGTGTATTCAATGACCCACAATCTGCCGTTTTGTGTAACCTTAAATCAGCATTTTCAATGGGGCTTCCCCTGAATTTTTAAAACCAAACTACGTAACATGTAATATATGTAGTGAAAGGGTGTAATTTTAAACCATGGGCACTCCCAAGTCCTTCCAGGCCTTCAGCTAGGCTGGTGGACAGGAATCCCACCCATGACAATCACCAACACAAACCACCAAGTACTCATATAAAAATGTTTATTTCTTGTGATGAAAAGACAATACATGTACAGACCAATCAACAATGTATATACATATGTACAGACAAGAAACAAAGATGGCAGCTATTCCATCCTGTCACAACATTAAGCTGGGATCCAAAAGGCTGTCACTGCCCTTATTGAAACATACGTGTTTACTTGTTAATACAAACAAAGCCCTGCCATTTATGACACATAGCTTATGTTAAAGAGACGATTCTTTCATTCAAATGTAATTTGTTTGTTTCGCAAATATTAGCGAAATCAAACATTTTTATGCATTTTATCAACTATTTGTTATAAAAATCAAAAACTACACGAACCTGTACTGATGTTGAACTTTTGGCAATATAATAAATAGGACAAGTGTATTCGAGTAGGTAATATCTACAACAAAACAATAACAGGACGAATACATACTAAGACACTTTAGCTGTCAACCTTGTAAAAAGTATCTACTGAAACAGGTACTTTTTCCAGCAACAACATGGGCTTGAACGTGCTGAAACTTTTACTTGACAGGTATCCAGTTTGGGATTAGTTTAAAAAATAAATATTCAATGCAATTCATTATATTTTTCATTTTTTTCTTGTAAACTGTCAAAACAGAATTGGGATAAATGTTAAGTAACGTGATCTAGGAGCTACTGAAGAACCTTTTTTCGAAATATTTAGGAGTATTTTCAATGTCTTGTGATATTTAATCTGTTAATGTATGTTTTGGACGCTTTATTTGACTAGCAATGAATTATTTGTGACAACTAGCCATGCCATCATTTTCTCCTGCCTAGCTATGTAGAAATTGTTAGGACAAGCTTCCATCACTGGAATCATCACAGAAATACTACGACCAAATGCAATCTTGTAACAAAATTGCAATGATTAATGCCCAATGAAAAAGTGTAACAATGACATGAACACCTTGCAACCACTGGAAAATACACAACACATGTATAAAGAAACCTAAAAAACACTTCAATCCAAGATTTCTTTCAGGATTGACACAATCCACTATAGTGAATTACTTAGACACTTGGTCTATATTACACACAAGTTTGTCTTCCTTTTTAAAAGAAAGTTATATCAATTTAGAGCAACTATAAGAGCACTGGGTTGTACATGCACTATATGCATCTAGAAGAATTTGAAAACACTTCCTGGTATTACATACAGGCTGGGCAGTGCCATCATAAACAATGGTGCCTCGTGTTAGGCTGGGTTGCTATTTTTGAAGCAAAGCAACCTGTTATTTTGTGATTATCAAATCCTTGTCAAGTAAGTTTAGTAAAGCACGTTCAATGATATCAGATCTTTCCTAAGGGTCCAAGCATGTTTGCAAGTTGCACCATGTTAACTGATGAGATGGCGATGATGGGATTACTTTGGTGTTAGATGAATTGTGCTGGGGTCGCTGAAATCTCCTAGCCGGGTGTGATTGTCAACAGCACGAACTGCGAAGTGATACTTGTTTCCTTCCTGGAACTGGGTTAGTGTACAGGCCATGGGTAGGGGCAGGGCCTTCACATCACCCACCTGAAACACAAGGACAATGTCACTACACTCCTGCAGTTGCAACTGTGGGCTGTATCAATGAAGTGTTGTACTGTGGACATCAATGTAACGAGGAGGAGTAATAGTAATGAATTTGGTTTTACACCATTGTTATCAATACCCCAGCTAAAGAAATGCTACCTATTTCCCCTTCTATTTAATCACCATTTCGAAATGCAAACGTAGAGGAAAAAGACAATAAATGTAACTTCAATACATTAACCTATACTACTCAACATTTCCTAAGGACCACACCTTTGACCAAAAATGACTAAAACAAAACAGTCCCAGCTAATATCACAAGTGGAACAGGGTCCTGATTCATATGAACAAGATGGGATGAGATGGTACTCACCCCAAAAAGGTACTAGAATCTGTACTTGACTAAGAAAGTGTTATCCAAAATATGACATTTGTTACATTTGACCACTTTGTAAATGGCATTGTGTGTTCATATTCTTACCTTCTTCCACAAAGTTGTGCTTGGCGGAGCAGAGCTCTCCTGGTATGCAAAGAGCTGGTAAGAAGCTATCTCTGCATGGTTGTCCTGTAGTGTCATGTTCCAGGACAACACAATACCTGGACAGAAGGGAGGAGATGCGGACAAGTTAGCAGTCAACACAAAGCTTGTTTTCATTTGTTTGTTTTTAACATAGCAATATTCCAGCTTATAAAGGCCTGGAAATAACAGTCTTGAAATACCAGTGATTGATATAAATCCAACGTAATTGGGGTACAATGAACCAATTAACGGGGCCTGACAATCCGATCCAATTAGTCGCCTCTTACAACAACGCATGTGTAGCTGGCGAACTATTCCAACCTGGAATCCCCACAAGGAGACATCTACTACAATTATTAGACATAATTTTTATCGAAATGTCCTTGTTCAGCTTCTGTTAGTCATTCCAATATCTACATTGGTACCATAAAGTAATAAATTGTTTGATTGGGATAATATACATACCTTGACTGACTCTTGAAATTTTGAGACCTGGTTTTGGAGGTAGGACTCCCTTGATCCCCCTGCTGACTTGATTAGTAGGTTTGGCAGGGAGCGGTGCTGGGTGTTTCTGAGTGGGTACAGGTGATGGGGCAGGGGCTGGAGCAGGGGCAGGGGCAGGAGCCAGAGTGATGGGCTGTCACAGAAAAATAGTTAGTTATTAAAAAATACTCAAATTCAATACCATCAATAACACTCATCATCATACGACTTTATATATACTCTGCAAAAAAAGAAACGCAAAAGTGAATTTAGATGTATATTTTATATATCATATAAATAATCAATAGATGGTAATCGATTGTTCAAGATGTGCACACATCATTCTCATTGACCCAGGTTCCATGTGGCACACATGAAACAGTAGCTTTTCAAGGTGAAGGTCATCTGTGTTCAATATCATGTATGGCCACCATCAGAGTCCAAAATTGACTGGCATTGTAGTCCCATGGAAGCAATCAGATCCTGAATTGTGGCCTGGGGGATGTTCACCCACTCTACCTGCAGTGTTTGTGCCAACTGTAGGAAGTTCTGTGGTTGTTGCTGACATGCTCGCAGTCGATCAAGTACATCCTATAAATGTTCGATTGGGTTTAAATCTGGAGGGCCAGGACCTGGATACAATGATTACTCACAAAGGCTGTCAGTCCTGCCAGGCATTGTCTTGTTGGAAAATGATGTTCCTTCGTTGCATAATGGGAAGCACGTGTGGCCAAAGAATCACATCTGTGTAACGTTATGCCGATAAATTTCCTTGAACTTACACCATGTCTGTTCTACCTGTGTAGGAGATGGCAGCCCACATAATCACGTGACTACCACCAAATCTGTCCATTTCTTGTATGCAGTTTCGGGCATAACCTCCCCTTCAACCTATGTAAACACGATGTCTCTTATGGCCATACTATGACCTTGACACCATTGATGTTGCAGGCGACGATGCGGTTCCTTCAAAATGACCCCATATACCGGCTTTCTACCGTGAATACCTTCAGCAAGTAAACGGTTCCTCACTGTCATCGCACGGATCTGTCCTGTGCTCCAGTCGTGATACAGGGTAGATGGACCTGGGAAGGTTACATGTTGTCCCGTGTGTCTGATAACGGTGCCACTGTCTTGTAATGGTGCTTGGTGCTTCGTGGAAAAAACAGCTGATGATGATTCTCCTGTTTGCAGTTGGCCAATGGCGTAATTGCCTTGGGCTTCCGTCAGTCGTGGTATCTTTTCATTGTTTACTTGCTGTAAGATTATGATGGCATGCAAATGAAGCCCCCAAGTTTTTATAGCCCAACAAGTGATGTTGCACGTGTCATGTCATTTTTGGGTGTTTTGGCACCAGGCTCTCATGTGGTTGTGTTTTTTGCGATTTTTCCATCTTTTCACCAAATTTCTGCAGTTCCTCATTTTTTCTACACAAATTCCAATCCATCAGAAATGACGAATTCATTTTAGGTATGAACATGATTAATTTTGTATGACAATCGCAACACTCAGATAATTACGATTTTACTACTTTATCTTTTTTTGCAGAGTATACTTTAAATCATTAAATCATAAATTATTCAGTCTTCACTCACTTTGTTGATAAATATTGTTTACATAAGGTTGAAATAAAAATTTCTCAAGCAAGTATGTTTTACAAATTGTGGAGAGCAGCTTCATTCTTAACCTCATTTTGAACATAGTCAAACTACAATTTTAATGACACACGGCCACAGTCTGTCCCCTTAGCAACTAGCCAGAGTCTAGAAATATTAGGTTCAGTCTAGTAAGCTCAGAAATATTAGTCCATATAACAACACTAAAATTGACTTAATATGATGCTAAGAACCAAGTTCGGGCTAGCAGGCGTTTTTGGCACAGACTGTGACCATGTGCTCATAATAAATGTCCACTCACTGTTGACACTGGAGTAGATGAAGGTGCTGTCTGTAGAGGTGGTGGTGGTCTGGCTGTTACTGTCTGTAATGATGTGGCTGGTCGAACAGGAGTTGAGACACTGATTTGACTTAAACTTGTACCTGGACGTAACTGAGGCATAGTCTGTCCCACCGGAGCCCCTGCTGACTTAGCCACAGGGAGTACAGTGGGAACAGTTGTGCGTATTTGAGTTTGTTGTGTGTTAACATGGCTGGAAGCAGGGACAACAGTCAGCAATGTTCCTGGCCGCAGATTGGACCCTGATGCTACAGTCACGATTTGGAATGTCCCTCCAGGACGTGTTAAACTCTGGGGACCTGCATTGACAAGTCCTGGTGAGCTAAGTAGAATAGATGTTCCACTAGTGAGCGACTGTTGTAAAGTGAGCGGGTTGACACCCCTGATCACTTGCTGCTGTACAAGACCCGGACGTAGAGCAGAAACTGCTGTCCCTGGCATCACTGTCATTGTTCGTGCAGGTTGAGTTGCAGTTGCTGGACCTTTAGCATTATCATCATCGGATGTCAGGTCAATTACCTTGGGAACATTCACAATCCCCTTAGCCCCAACCTGACCAGCAAGATTGGGAGAGCTCATAACTATAACATTGGAGCCTGAGATGGGCTGGCCTGAAACGGTTTGTAACTTGCTGGTGGTGTCGATGGTCTTGGTGTTGTCTAGGAGACTGCGCACTGTTGTGAGTGATGTGGGGAGGGCTGTGGGGAGGGCAGTGCTCAGGTGCTGGGCAAGCTGAGGTCGGACTCCGGTCAAGGTACCTAGTGGAGGGTGGCCACCTATGAGGGTAGTTGATGTTGATGGCGTGGTCTGTAGAACAGCAGTGGCCGACAGCAACTGAAATGAGGACATCAACACTTGGTTTAACACATAGTATTCCAATTTTTACAACATGACACGTACAATCTAAAAGTGGAAATGATCAGTTTCTAGAAACATGAAATTCCTCATTAATAAGGGAAATCATGCATATTAATTCACATATGACCAATTCCTGCAGACAAACTCCGAGTTCCCTAGCTTTAAATTGTAGCTTCTTGGAAAACCAAATCAAAGTTTTGTTAATTATACTGATAATCAGAAACAGTGTTGCTCAAGGTATAATCTATAATCACAACTGTACAGAAAACAATGTATGTAACATTTGTCTATTACTTGGCATTGTATATACATTGTACTATAGGCCAAATACATGAAAATGAACATACCTGTGAGACACTACTCCTATTGACTGTAGAGGCAGTGATAGATGCAGCAGGGGCTATTTTGCTGCCTGATGTCAAGACAACTCCGGCCACGCTGGTGGAACTGACAGGAGCAGCTGCAGTGTTGCTGGAGAATATTGGCATAGAGAAACTGGTACTGGTTGCTGGTGCTGCTGCTTTAGGGGGTGTTTTAGGCTGCTTCACTGCCAAACCAGTCGCAAAATTTGTCTGGAAACAAAGTAAACAATGATCATTTAACAGTGAGTTGGCAACAACACTTTTTGCAAAAAGTTAGCTCAGGTTGGTTGAAATAAAACAAATTTGTGTAGCTCAATATTGAGTTGAAAATGAATTGGTATAGAGAAGGAAGAAATGCTAATTCTGTATAAAGTGTAGGAGTCCTCATAGTAAACGAAGATTGCAGTGTCCACAGACTACATACATGCATTTCATCAATTATAATTTAAAGAACTTAATAGCTACTTTTGTATGTATTTTGTAGTTGTATCCTGTTTTAAAAAAAATATTTCAAAGATGGAGCAGTTGGGAAAATTGAAAAAAGCATGAAATACCCATATCGCCCACCAATGGTGAGGGCATGACTCAAGTCCCTGACCTCAAAGGTGCCTAGGACTTGTTCCAAAGAGTGTTCCAAAATGACACTTAATAAAAACCTTTGGCTATCTAAGTAGGGTGGTGTCACTTGAAAAAGAACACTGGGCACAGCGGTTATCATTAGATACACTGGGATTCTCTATTTCCTCTTGATGGAATTAGAAAGAAAAAAAAAATAGAAGATAAAAAGCAGTTGACCACTTGATTGATTAGTGAGGAAATATAAAAGATTCATGATGGATTGGAATTTGTTGTCATGAAAACTGATGAAAACAAATCCAAAATTCCTTAATAGCAAACGGAACCAGTTCATGGCTAGACTAATATCTGTGCAAAGTTTAGTCAAGAAAAGATGAATGGTCTCGACTTATGCTCTGAAACAAAATGATGATGAATGGAAGGACGGACAGGGAGCACCTGTTCCTACATCTCCTCCCACTTTGTGCATGTTGTGGTAGGGAAATAAAAATGCAGTCAGTAATATTATGTTATTATTACTTAGGCCAGAGCATACAAGCATTTGTTGAATGTATTTAATTAAAATATTTCAACCTACTCCTATAATTTCTTTACTATTCATCAGTACATCTGTTTCAAAATGTTTGTGTTAATTTTAGTCGGATTTATTCCCAAAATTCCAGAAGGAAACATTGTTAGTTTACAATAGTTGTGAAAAATAGTGGGGGGATTGTTAAACATGTTAAAGGCATTTAATAGAGTGAAAAAATGGCTGAAGGAATCACTGTCTTTAGATGAATCCTGTATCAACCTCATACACTACAGCCAAATCTCAGCCATGCAGAGATGACAACCCAAGGGAGCTAACTCTTCAATACTTGTGAACAGATCTACTGTACATGGAATCTCTAACCCTTGACTACATTCATTTAGTTTTGTTTTGTTTTCATTTAACTTCTAAATCACAAACACCTGTCCAAACAATTCTAGAAGCTAGTTCTATATAAATCTGAATAACAGACAACTGTTTTCAAGACAACATACAATTCAGACATAACATCTATCGGGCATTGCTTGACAAGTCAGAATGTATTTGAAAATTCAAGTAAAACAAGGCATCATGCAAGGAGGTGTGTTTAGTGGTGAAGGGCAGGGACGGGATGTGAATGAGTTCAACAGCAAATCTAACACAAAACCTACAGTTCAAGACCCACACTCAAAATATACCTGAGTCTCAGACCGCGAAGCCTGCTTTTCCTGTGAGATAAGCACAAATATGTTAACTTCCTTCCCTTAAAGTGTTTTCACTTGACTGTTCGCTTCAAAGCTGATACTGAGTTGTGTGAAACAACCTTTTTGACTCTTCTAGAATTTTACTCTATTATGGGGGGCTTCTATAAACATTGTCCACTGGACAGAAAATGACAGAAGACTGGCCTTTCAAATTAGTGTTAAAACGAAATGACCTAAACTTGAAAACTGGATTGCTCAGGTCTATGTTTTTAAGCAATTACTTAATAAATGTACAATAACGATTTACACATAATCAAATCAAGGGATAATGGTTTCATTTATCACAAATATATTTAAAAGTAAATAAAATCCTCACAGGTAAATCCATCATAGACGTTTCACCTATTCCATGTTCTAAGCAAATATATATCACCTATACCCAGAAAAACAGTGCAAGTTTTTCAATGATGACAGCTGGCTTTCACTGATTATTCTTTATAAGCATGACAAGTAACCATCTGTCTCTTACCTTGGTGTCATCTGCCTGCACAGCCACACTGCGAGTGGTTATTTGCTGAAAGAAAAGGAAATCATAAGTATACAATGCAGCAACATAGGGCAACATGATTAATGTAATTATCCTCCTTGAGTAATGTTGTATTAATCAGTAATTCCCATCTCATATCTTAATATTCCTATCAGTAGATTTAAGGTATCACATATGAATCAACACTGTTAGACATGCATCCAGTTTGAAGGCAATATCATCAAAGTTCAAACCTGATTGATACATGTGCAAATAGTGAGTGAGTGAGTATGGTTTTACACCGCTTTTAGCAATATTCCACCAATATCATGGCAGGGGACACCTGAAATAGGCTTCACATATTGTACCCATGTCAGGAATCGAACCCGGGTCTTCAGCGTGATGAGCAAACGCTTTAGCCACTAGGCTACCCGACTGCCCTTTGTGAAAATAGCAGTAATACTGTATCAATACTTGATCAGTATTACTCTTAAAATACTGATGCATCAGGATAAAAATATTATCTTATAATGAAACTTATTACACATTACCCTTCTAGCGCCTAATAGTATATGAACATATGTTTAAAGTCATGAGGCTCTGTACATCATCTGATTATCTAAATGCTTGCAACATAATGATAAGAGATTAAATTATAAATAATTCATAATAAAAAGTCATACTCAGTGTACCGCTATGGAAAATTACACAATGATATACAAAGAAATAGCTGAGAGGTGGGCCAAAATCTTATTTCCAACTGACTGTAATGTATTGATTAGAAAACATATTCCACTAACAATGTAACACAACAATATGAATATTTCCTTTTTCCTTTTTTTCATTACAACATGTTTTATTTATTGTATAGTTGTCAAATTTTAGATCACAAATGTTAATCCGACATAATATTATGCAACCAACAATGTCGGATTAACGGGACTTGACTGTATATGGCATATATACAGCAAATGGCTAGGATAAAAAAATAAGTTTGTTATATCCGTCAGTTCATTATACATGTTATAAGCATGTTCGATATAAACATAGTTTATTGTAAGTCCAACATGCTTACCCTGAGTGCAGCAGTGGCAGCTTTTCTTTTCTCTAGCCTCTGCTGTAACACAGTGAGATCCAGGACCTTCTTCTGCAGTTCTTTGGCCTGAGTTCTCCATGATTCATTGGCCATCTGCAGATCCACTATCTTGGACTTGAGAGACTCCATTTTGCTGTCACGATGAGCTTTGAGGTAGGCAGAGACTTTACTTCTTACAAGAGCTTCTAATTCCTGGAAAATAAAAATTTTGGTTGGTGACATCATCTATAACATAAACACTGTACATAGTTCCAACTTCTGATAAGGTCAAGGTCATACAATAGAAAGAGAATACATTTCGGCGAGTTGCATCTAACAACATGTTTATCTCATTGAGCGACCTGCTTCAGCTGAATGTTTGCACAGCCAAGAGTGAAAGTGTCAACGTTATCAGCTCACAAGAGCAGATATGCATGTTTATTTTTCACAAGAAAAGCCAGATTGTTTACAGATTTAAGTCTAACAAGGTAGTGTTTTCGAGCTCAAGCATAAAGTCTTATTTCACTATGTGAAAATATTGATTTCATCTTTTCAGATAAATATAGTATTTCAACACTAAATATTGTATTAATAGCTGGGTTAAGACTTATTTTGAGTGTTACAAATTAAAAAAGTCATACATGTTCACATGTTCGCAGAAAGTGAAAGGTTTTATGCAGTGATATTTTTTGCTTTATCAAGGTAAGGACAGTGTGGTTGCTAGGAGGGTTTGAATGGCTTTTGATGTAAATTCTCTGTCTAATATGGTCTGTGTGTGGAAGGACAGAATAAAATCAATGTAATATTGAAAATTAAATGAAACTGTTAAAAGAACCAGACAGACATCTGGTGGAGATAAAGAAAAAAACGCTAAAATATTACATTCACGCTCAAACATATGAAATTTATATGTTTTACCTGAGATCTTACAATTTTTTTCATTGAATAAACATGTCATAAGAAAAGTACAATTAGTCTAAAACAACCCTATTCTCAAACCCATTTTATTTGTTAACAACTTAACTATTAACGTCCCAAAATACTCAGGTGCCTTTTCTAGTCTTGAGTATTTGCGGTACAATTGATAAATGGTGTATCATAACAAAGTGAGCTGTAAGTACCTGCACATGCATTCCTTACACTCAGGCAAATCTTCAATATCTTCAACTTTGTTTATGCAACATACCTTTCCTGAGAGTCGAATGGTCTTCGTGCTTGACTGAGATGTCTTGTCATCATCCTCATCACTCACAGAAGACAAGGCATCCTCCGACTTCTCACTCATCTCACTCCCAGGGTGGGAATCTTCATCCGAGGTATCAGATTTGATGGTATCAGGAGAAATTCCAATTTGTGATCCCAACTTTCCAATAACCATGTCTAGTCTTGACCTCTTGGGTGGAATCCCAGACTCCGAGGACTGATCTTCCTGAGATCTCTTACGATCAGTTCTAGAGGCAGGAGCGGCTTCAGCAGAATCTTCATGTTTGACCATTTTCACCTCATCTTTGACTTCGCTATCCTCTTCGATCTCCATCGGTTTGATTTCATCTTCATTTTCCACTTTCCTCTCTGATTTGACTTCTTTCTTCACCATTTGTTCAGAAGGCTTATCATTTTCACTAGATCTACACTCAGTCTTGGTCTCTGTTGTGGTTGTTTCCTTAGAATCAGATTCACTCTTAATTTCGTCTGTACCCTGAGTTACATTTGAGTTACCTGAGTTTGATTTCAACATTGGTTCCTCATCATCACATAGAATAATATCATCATCTTTCTTGTCAAAGTCATCATCAATTAATTCTACATCACTTTCTTGTGGACCTAATTGTTCAGATGAGTTCTTTGCTACGCTATTTCCATCTTGTTTGTCATTAGCACTTTTACCTGCTCAAAATAAAAGACGATTTCAACTGGGACATACCATCAAGATTCAAAGACATGTCTTACACTCGGCCCAAAATATCAGTCTCATTAAAATCAGATCCTAGTTCTCGCTAATGCTAAACAAAGATCTGAAGACATCCCATTAGGGGTCACGTCAGAACAACCAATCAGTGCATCGCTTACCAGATTATGAAAGTGACTGTCGGAATGTGATTTCTAATCATGCAATCTCGAAAACTTTAACATGGGGTATTCCGAACGATAGTTACGGGTTTAACGACTGAATCCTTACATTCTAGACCATCGATTAGTCATTCCAGAATGGTTTTTTTGTTCAGGTTTCAAATTTGTAATCGAGAATTTGTCAAAATATGTTTCGAAGCGTATTCGCCAATTTGAAATTTGTGCCGTAAAGCACGAGAAAGTTGGTTTCTGATCAGTCATTCCATTGGTCAGTCAAAGTTCGCGCAAGGTCGGTCTGATGTGACCCGTAATGGGATGTCCTCAGATCTTTGTTTAGCGGTAGCGAGAACTAAGTTCTGATTTTAACGAGATTGCCCAAAATATCTGCCCTATGTCGAGTGTAATGATGAGTAAGTGTTATTTTCGCGTTGTTACTACAGCCTATAAATACATGATCAAATCTAGACCAGACAAACCAGTGGTTGAGAGCATGAGTAGGACAAAGATGCTTATTGTGATAGCATGTTGCAGGTTTGTTTGTTTGTTTGTTGTTTAACCCCCATGCTCGACAATATTCCAGCTATTTGAAGATGGTCTGCAAATAATCGAGTCTGGACCACACAATCCAGTGATGGACATCATGAGCATCGATTTCAACATGTTCAAAGGTTTAATCCTATTCATTATAAATATGAAAGTTATGTTTATCAATTATTTAAATAGTGCATTTATAACTTAATTAATTTCCGTTTTTAATAGAAAAATTTTAATCTAAAACATTTATAATGTCCAGATTAAGCACAAACAAAGCGAAAGGAGTATTTTTGTAGTTGTAACATGCGTTATAATTGGATAGAAACAGGTTTCTAATGACAATTTGTCATAATCTAATATAAGGATCGTAAATGGTCAAATTCATGCATGTGACCTAAGGCAGCCAATCAAATTACAGCAATGAATACCGTCCTTGTGTATGATATATTTCAGATTTAGACGAAAGACTTTTAGTTACATTGTGCTATTTTGAACGTTTTAAAGATAAAATCGTGAACTTCATGGACATATCGTAATAGGTTACGACCTGTGACAAAGATTTCTCATGCATGTGTTTTGGCGTTAAACATTGTGTCCGAGCCTAAAAATCGAGTTGACAAATGCTGAGATGTCATTTGACTTAGATGTATGTTTGACAATATTTTTTGAAATTTGTTTGTAAATTTTATTACTTTATTTAACTGATTACCATGTTTACAGATTTACTTGAAAAATCTTATATTGCTCTTTGACATGTTTAACAGATTTTTTGTCGAATAATATTGCAGGAAATAGTTAATAACTTACAATCAATTGATAAAATATGATAAATTGAAAGGAAATACGTATTTTCAAACATTGTGAAAAGTGATTGATTTAAAACATGAATGATATGACAGTTAGGTTCTTGAATATATTAACAGTTCTTGAAACTGTATTGTAACTACAGTGTGGGTATACCGGCCTGCGGTGTTGAACATGTTGAAAGAGTTAACGAGCGGAGTACATTGAAACTGGACCCTGTTTCCCCAAGCAATCTCAGTGTTATGATTTATTTACCATGTTTACAACTTAAAATAACTGCAGGCTGTAAGGGCCTGCTGAAATTTAAAACTATAAGCCTTATGGGCCATTGTCTATTTTAAACACTGAGTACAGATACTGGTGAAACTTTGCAATACAATTGTAATACTGCTACAACTATTGCAAAAGAATCATCATTATGTTTTTAACAGACTTGAAAGTCATCCCTAACTGCGACTGAATAATATGTAAGATGATTGATAAAACATCTGCCCAGCCTACATTTTCAGGGTTTTAGTGGAGATAACTGCTACATATCATATTTCTGACATCCAACAGAATAAATAACCGTTATCAATGGGCCATAGTCAAACAAACAATAATGATAAGTTACTTACCCTCTGTTTTCTTGGATGAACTCCCAGCTCCTATCCCAGTTAGATTCTCAAACAAGTTGCCCTTTCTGGGAGATGGTGGCAGGAGCTTGCTCTTTTCAGAGGTCTTTTCTGAAGAACCAGTTGTTAGTTCAACATCCATACTCTCTTCGTGTTTGGGCTTCACCAATAGTTTATTCAATTCATTACCCTGTTTAAGTTTGGACATAATATCTCTCACTGAGTTTCTGACCTTATCACCAATTGTCAAAGGATGATCCCCAAGCTCAGAATCCTGAGACTTCTCATCCTTTTCTGTTAGAGTCTCCCTTTCCGACAGCAGCATCACTTCATCATCATCACAGCTATTTGGTGTTTTGGAAGTTTCGTTTGTGTCTTCATTGTCACTGTCAATTATTTCAATTTTATCAGAGGTAGATACTTCTGGTTCTACAGATATCTCCCTATCAGCATCTTGAGAAATTTCTTCTGATTGTATCTCTGATGGTGCACCAGACTGCATTTCAGACTGAACATCTGATTGTAATTCAGACTGAACTTCTGACGGTTCTTCCGATTGTACTTCAGAAGGTTCTTCAGATTGAATCTCGGAAGGAGCTTCTGAATGAACCTCTGACGGTTCTTCAGACTGAATCTCTGATGGTTCTTCAGACTGAATCTCAGATTGTTCTTCAGACTGAGCTTCCAATGGTTCTTCAGACTGAATTTCCAATGGTTTCTCACACAGAGCTTCCAATGGTTCTTCAGACTGAACTTTGGAAGGTTCATCAGACTGCACTTCGGCAGCTTCTTCACATTGTTCAGTTACTTCATCTGTTACTTCATCCGTTACTTCCATGGATTCTTCTTGTTCCTCGCCATCCTTACTATCATTAGCTGACTGTATACTTGGAGTTTCATGTCCATTGTCACTTGGCTTAGAGTCTACTCCAGGAGAAGCTACAGTCATTGCATCACCATTTGCTTGATCATCTATATCTACTGTTTTCAGTATAGATTTGCCATTGCAGTTCCCAGACTTCTCTGTAACAGCATCACTTTCCAAAGCAGACTCAGTCTTGGCACTGTCCCCTTCCCCGTTCAAAGCCTTGAGGTTCATTATTGCCTCCTGAAAACTGTCCTTCACATCACTCATTGAGTCTGAAGAATCAGATGAACCAATCCCACTGTCGCCTTCTGATTTGGTTATGCCAAGCTTAGGTAGTGACCAGCCTTGTCCCAATTTAGCAGTGGATTTTCTGGCAGTGGTTATCTTTATGGAATCACCTGCAATTAGTTAATATAAAAAAATCATCTCACTTCCAAATCAAACATGTAGAGAAAGGGTATTTTGAGGACAATTTTGATGTTGGCCCATGAATTATATTCTGACTAATGGGTTCTGAACCCAGTTATGCTTGAGTGATTAAAAGAATCATGATTACAATTTACATCCCAGTTTTGTGAATGAGTGAATGTTGTTAAGGTCGCTGTCAGCAGTATTCCAGCCAAATCATATAACGGCCTGGAAACAAAAGAGCCTTGGTCAACAAACCAGTGGTTGATATTATGAGCAGCATCAGGGTACTTGGTCGAGTCAATAGGTTGTACTATTACCCCTGGTGAAACAGGTCAGAGTAAGTCTAACTAAAAGGCTAGATATGTTTAATAAAACACAATTTAATGTAAACACGTCTAACCTCATTTATTGAAGCACATCAAAGTTCTGTGTGTATATCCCTATGTCACGTTTTCAAGCCTCACCTCTTTTCGAGGCCCTATACAATGTGTAACCACACGCTTAATGACAATCAAGGTAGACGCTTCAAAGCCCACTGAAGACATCAAAGTGTTAGCCATTTGCAGCTGAAGTTTTTTTAGAAACAGACCTACATGAGATTAGATATTCATCAAGTGATAAAAACACCTTAAAACTTAGATGATGTATCAGCTGGTGTTTGTTGATATCCTATGTGTAATGTCATGTGACTGATCATGTTGTGAGTGAGAGAATGAGTATGTTTTTACGCCGCTTTTAGCAATATTCAAACAATATAATGGTGGAGGGACACAAAAAATTGGCTTCACACATTGTACCCATGTGGGGAATCGAAACCGTGTCTTCAGCATGACCAGCAGATGCTTTAACAATTCGGCTACCCCACCACCGATCATGCGGTGCATCCATTTTTAACTTGACAAATGAAGGGGCTTGATATCATCTGACAGTAGCAAGATAGCACCTATCAACTTGTCTCGCTTGGCGAGGCAATATGACTAATAAACCAAAGTTTTATTCATCTTAAACTGTACATACCTTTCACACTGTGCTTGAAGACTTGTGATTGAGGTTCTTTGGTTGACATTCTACACCTGATAAAAAAAAAGACACACTAAATAATCTTTGATCTTTCATTTTCATCACACTGACCTTACTCAAACATATCTGCAGCTAGTCTAGCCATTGTCGGCACATCACAACAATACCGCATACCCCTGTAGGTGGAAATCTTAGGTAAAAGTATTACTCTGTTCATACAACTTCTCAACAAATGCTAACTAATTGAGTAAACAAAAGACAAATATATCTAAACAACTGACTTTACATGCTGAAGCTGAACTTTCTTTTTAAATCATAGGTGTTAAATATATTAAATCAATTACAAACAGCCCCCTAACTGAAATGCATGGAAAACATATTCTTGTTGGGAGTGGGCTTGATATATTTGTGGAGCAAATAAGTTGCGACTTCATCATCAATCTTTGGGGTTTTTTTAACAATCAATCATCCTTTACAATCACTTAGAAATATTTTGCGCATTTTCCCAATATTACATGTTCATTTATATTACCTGGTTTTTTTCTTGTTATTTGATAATTTTCTATTGATTGCATATTAATGAGTGTATTATTTACAGACTGCCGCCATATAGCTGCAAAGTTAAACAACAAAAAACAAATTTAGACCATGAAACATTAATTATTAGGCTTTCATCCTTGCCAAATTCACATCATTTTCAAATACCAAGTTTACCATCACAAATCAGGGTCAGTTTGAAAGTAAGTTGTTTTTGTTTGAATTTACCCCCAATTTATTTCGAGGAGTTTCCTTGATAAACAGCTGCATATGTGATAAAAAAAATATGATGCAATGTTTCTGTTCCTTGTTGATATAGCATGTTATGGAATTGGTGTAATGCACATGGAATTCCTAGCTAAAACTATGCATATTATCTTGTATCGTACTGTAGCTCTAAGGTTCAGCTTTAGTCATTGAAACTGTGTTTAGAATGAGATCAAAGACGTCATGGTAAGACCCTGTTGAGGTAATCATGCTCAGTGCGGCTTCTTCATGGTCTTATGTTAAACGGCGTCAGGTTTCAACCTCATCGACGTTTTCATCCCAAACCGTATCTTTATTTGTTAAACGAGTACGATGAAGACAACGCTGCACTAAACAATGTTGTCAGGCTCCCTCTCTCACCGCCCCGCACTACGTTTATCCACAATGAACGCAAGCCGGGTCGATGGGAAAATAATATGGACGGACACATATCAGTACTACTGTACATAGCGGTTTTGGATACAGAACAAAAACTCCTCCCCTTTTCCTCAAGCGACAACGGAAGAGCTTCACCCATTACTGCCAATCGGCCAACCTCGTCCCTTTCCGTAACCCGAATTTTTCAGGGGAAGTGGCCGATGCGTTCATTTCGCCTGGACACCGTGGGCCGCAAGCTCCTTTCCAGCGCGTGACACCTCCGTAGATAACATCGCGATGGTATTGAGAGCTCCGCGAAACAAGGGCTATCGCTGTGAGGAGCTTACATGGGCCAGTAAACATCGACCATTTAACGTAGGAATAAAATGAAAATGTCTCGATGTGCTTGCGAATTAAGTGAGACTACTGTACGTTATCACCGCCTAAATATTGAATGGGGATCTGACAATAAAATAGACAGGAGAACCTTGGGCTTGAGACGAAAGAGTGAGTTGGGATTGAACGCGTTTTAACAGTGTCTCGGCGTGGAAGGACAGCCCAATAAGTTTAGACCCGTTGTCTACTGAGAAGTGCATTCCTCGCGATAGGAACTGACAGCAGGCAACCCAACGCGTTCAGACTCAACTTCCATAGCTTATTATTTTATCTCCGCCTTAGCAAGAACAAGAACCCAAAGTCATCAACATCCGTCCCTTTCCCTGGCGTGTCCTTTTGCTTTCATTTGTCAACTTCCGCCAAGGAAATAAATTTATATCCCTATTTCCTTTCGCTTATATGTTATATTTGAAAATATCGGTATTTTTTCTATAGATACCTCTCGTGGTCTGAAATGAGTCATTTAATATTAAAAACATATTCCATACCTTATATTTGTTAATTTGCTTTGAGGTTACATTGATCCTGAGGGCAGATGACACAAGCCAAGTCCGCAATGTCCAAATGTTAAAGTCCGCAACTATTGGTACATCCATATCACCAGGGGATCCAATGGCAGAATATACCCGCAGTGCCCCATCATGATGTGTGTGCCCTTTGCAATAGCCGGCGAATGTTGTGTGAACGGGACGATTGTGGGTAATCTTGTTGATTTCAGGTCGAGCTTATACACAGTAGGAAAATCGCATATACTGTGGCGTAAAATGACATGTACATCTCTCAATCTTTCAAAAGGTTTTCATTTTACTGTCACGTGGACTGACCTTAATTAGAACAGATCATCCAGGGAATATATTCACTAACATCAACCTGCAAACGGTCGTCCATAAACAAAACGACGGCGGCCTCGAAATAATCCGAGCCTGGACCAGACAATTCAGTAATTACTTAGAGTGAACACCGGATCTATTTAGTCGCCTAGTACAACATACAACATGCTGAGGCACCAGTACATCACACCTGGTGTGGATACAAAGTTTCACAAAGAAATATTGAACTGTTTATGACTTATTAAGCTCTGGAAATTGAATTTGAATTTGGTTTTATTGTTGTTTTACTCGGCATTATTCCAGCTATATGTCGGCGGTCTGTAAATAATCGAGTCTGGACCAGACAATCCAGTGATTGATATCATGAGCATCGAGCCACGCAATTGGGATCGATGACATGAATCGACCAAGTCAGCGAGCCTGACCACCCGATCCCGTTAGTCGCCTCTTACGACAAGCATAGTCGCCTTTTCAGTTTGAGTCGCCTTCATTTGAAGCCAATCCAATTTGCTACCTTGACAACAACAATATAAAAAAAAATAAAAAAATAGCAAGATGCACCTGTTCAGCGCATGGTTCATGTGCATATGTTTCATGAAGAAATATTGAACAGCTTGTGAAACGATTGAAACGCAATCAGCTGTCTCTCACCACGGTGACAGGTGTGCAGTATAGATCACATTCTAAAGTGGCTGTTTGTGACAGTGTTACCGGGTTAGTGAATCTTTCAACTTATATTAGCCAAATATAGCTCACAGTTTTTGTCAGTTACACAATTAAAAAAAATCAAAATCAAATTGGTTTGACGCCAGAAGCATTGTGCATTTGCTTATTCCCATTTCTAAAATTGTTGAAACGTATACCAGCATATGACCGCCGTGAAATAGTTTGCACGTGCTCACAAATGGTTGACATTTTGAGATTTCTCACTCTTCAATGAGCTTGGACGCGGTATTCCAATACCTGTTCGTGTGAAAAGTGAGTTCTGAGACATTACAGAATGCACATAAACCTTCCCGGTAACCAGAACGCAATGCATTCACAATCGTCTTTGTGGCGGTAGCAATACATCTTCCCGAGGCAAGGGCGTTACCTGACCATAAAAGTCCGGTTTCCACCCTTGCCGAACTAGGCTGGAATTTAGGAGTTACATTTTGGCTGGATTAGCGAGTCTGTGCATAGTCAAATCAAAATCGCGTGACAACATGAATTGCAACGTGCAGATTTCGGTCGACTGCGGGATTTGCAAAACATGTGTACCGTCAAATGGGTGTCGACAGATATTTTGCAAATCTTTTCATGTTTTTAATCAAGGTGCTCAAGTGATTTGATGCAATTCGCGAAGTAATACCCGTTTTATTATAATATAGATCTTGATTATAGATCAAATCGTCTTGACAGGGTGCCGCCATTTTGTTTGAACCAAATGCAAGTGATACGAGAGGTGGAATCTGATTGGTCAGTTGTAGGGACACAGAAAGGGCACTCGTATTAGTCACTGGTGGCGCTACGATCGAGCCTAGTTCGGCAAGGGTGGAAACTGGACTTCTATAGTCATTTAACGCCCTTGCCTCAGAAAGATGGTAGCATTCGTATTCATGTATATGTGCACTCAATCGTTATTGTTTTTTTGTTCCGGAAGTCACACGTGCCCAGTCCTGTGGAGTAACACGGACCGGAAGTACTTCCCATCAAATCCCAAACTGGTTGTTTGAACTACCTTCGCAGATGTCCTGTATTAACCTTATAGAACTCGAACTTCTACGATACAGTTTCTTATTATTCCATTGAGAGATATTACAACACTACACGTATAAAAGCAAATAAAACAATCCGACAGAAAGTCAACGCGCTTGAGTTATGTAGTGAACGAACATGTTTGTTGTCCGTAGAAGATTCTGTACTTGATACATCTTCCACTGTGAGGCCCATGTTGCACAACATCGACTTTGCGCACAACGATGACACCTGAAGCCAAAGCATAACACCGCCCATTTTTCAACACTGAAAATCCAGTGCTAGCATTGTTTCGGTCTAGCAATACGATACACGGTGCTTCTCTTGTCGATACGATATTTACGTGTTTTTTCCCCCTTTGCTGTCGCAGTCCACAATATTCCAGCTATATCACGATGACCTGTAAATAATAGTCCCGACACAAAATACTGGTTGATGCTTTGAGCAGAGCCCCACGAAAACCAAGTCATCGATCCAGTATAGTCGACTCTTAAAAGAGCCTGTTTAGGGGGCCAATTCTACCCCGGAATCCCATGCACGGTTGCGATTAATATGTAGTACAAATAATATGCATTAAAGTCAACATGACCAAATATATGATATGATATTCTGTTTGTCAAATACATGCAACAAACAGCAACACACCGTCTCATAAAATTCGCTTCGTTTTCAAGTCAGGACAGATTGTTTACATACAGAGAAATAATTGCCCATAACAATGTCAAGTAAATACAGTCTCTGGTTTACAGACAAGTTAACGTGGTATCTATCTATCTTCTTCGAGAGACGTTCGAAACAATAGCATGGACGGTGACACGTCGCGACCCCCATAGATTGAATTTGTGAAGACCTGCGCGAAAGGAAACTGCGAATATCATTTAACGTCTCAGGAGTGCAATATTCCTACCATAGCACGGTCTGGAAAGAAGATGGGGTGTGTCGTTGAGGGTTAATCGTCAGCATTTCGTGGTGTGGAACGTCTCATCTTACAAATCCACTGACGCCGGTCGAATGTTATGTCACTATTTTGGGAAGGCGCGATTCACCAAGAGTCACATCTACAATACAAATTCCACCTCGTATATAATTCAAGCGCATCTGTATATTTGTATAGGAAATACGGTATACGCTGTTCTTTCACATTACATGCTGAGATTGGGCTCATTCAAACACTGAAAAAAATGAGAAAACAAGTCCAGTACATCATGATGGTTCTCAAGGCTAATAATCAGTTGAAAAGCTTCCTTGTGGCGACCGCCCAACATGTATCTGCACCCTCTCCGTAACGCCCTTAGCCATTAATGATCAATCTACACAGCTACTATTACCAATCGACCCTTTGACAATGTCATGGCACGAATCCAGTTTTACCAATAGTCCACTCATATCGATTTCGATTTGTTCGTTAATTATTGAATTTCACAAATCTCCATTGACTGCAACAAACTCCAATAAATGACCTCTTCGTCAAATTGTATACAAGAAATGCGGTAATAGCGAGCCCAGCTTCGTATTCTGCAATCGTCGTCGTATACCGCGAGACGCCGAACGAACGCTTTACAAAGGTCATTGAATTGGCCCAACGCCAGGTTGTTATAGCAACATCGTTAGTGGACGATCCCACTTATCGAAGGAGGGGTCGTTTCAAACTAAATTTGGTGATTAACCACAGACCCTTTACAATATTATGAACGCTAAACTATAACCATGCAAGTCGATGCCGGGGGATTTCAAACCCTTATTTTGTCGAAAAACAAGCATATTTTGTGTGTACAGCACTCAGACCGCTTGCTATCAGTACTCCGTATATTCACGAACAATACGCCCTGACCTGACCTCATAACGATACCGGTAAGGGAACCGCACAACATGCTTCTGTGTGAATTTTAATTTGGAATATAAAACAGGACTCCGCAGAGTATCATATACATCCAGCAATAAATGCCTTAATGCCCTGCTCGCCCCATACAACATTATATTTCTTAGTTCTCATGTACCTGAAACTGACGAGTGAGATTTTACATGCCACGTCACGTGTCCTGATATCAGTACATGATGCATAAACGGTATTTTTAATTAATTAAACATAATTTCAGAAACGGATAATATGTAATATTGTAGAAGTGTGCTACCTTTAGGTCGCATGACGTCATGTCGAATATCGATTGGCCAATCAGCTGCCAGCGCGTGGTACCGAATGGGGTTTTCTCAAAGTTTGTTGCGACTATTTTGCTCGAAGCGGGGCGGCCATGCAGACAAAGGAAGGCCGAGTATCCTCGCGTTGCTGGCGAATGTAGGCCGGGCGGCCCTAACTTGGGTGGGTGGATAGGCTGTAGATGGTTTCCGTTCGATGTCGATACATTTCTCTCAGCGAAAACAGAGTTACTCGGGAGTATTTTCCAAACGACTAATAAGGTCTCTAGGGTAGGGATGACAATGTCACCAGACTAAAACACGATCGATCGAAATCTATTTCGGGAGTATATTTCTAGGCGTAAATATGACTGCTTAGACATTGTATCGGGGGAAAGTTCAAATATTACCCAATGCATTCAAACAGCTGGTTAAAAAAAAAGACAACTTTTTTTCAAAAAGTGATCCCGGCATATTACATGGGCGTGGCTTACATAAACACGTCCTTAATTAATTCAATGGTGCAGATTGAGTAACATTCCCACTCAACCTATTTACAGTAACGATAATGTAGGGTATGACGTTATGACGAAACAACCCTGCTTCCAACCTCTTCCACATTTGTATACATACCATTACTGATATTTAATAGACAATATATGTCAACAAATATGTTCGATCGAAGACAAACCTATTGTCTGTCACAAGCATATTGTTTCTCTTACCAATACCATACCAAAATATATATATGAGATAATGCATGTAATTTCTTCCCAACATTTATCGTAGAAGTCTGTCCTTGGTGAAACGTTCATCCGGGCATCTTAAACGAGACGAGAGGCCCTCGCGGGGTTGTTCATTTATAAGGGTCACTTGAGGTCAGCAATACTGTAGCAAAAAGATCTAAATCTGGTGACAAATCATCAAAATACATTAAATGGTATAGTATAATCGATATTAATCAACACGCTGTTGACTGACACAAAAACTATGTCGGACTACAATGTTATATCTTTTATGCAAATTTGTATGAACATATTTAAAACAAAATCAAGCACATTATTAGAAATGAATATATAATATATATTAATCTATTTGCATAAAATAGTGGGATTGAATTTTCAGATTAGTTTCATAACCATGAAATACCTTCAGAAAAAAGACAACCAAATAAATATCCACATTATATCATACTTCTGACATCGAGTTCGTCAATATAAAACGTACATGTATCAATCAAGCAATACAAAACTTGTAAACTAATGCGTCGACACCGGTGAAGGCAAACAACACATCAGACACACTTTAAATAACACAGAAGACACATTGCAATAACGGAAGCGGGGGGTATCGTTTGCCACAAGTCTCATATTCCTAATGCAATGCATGTTGTAGAAAAGCCATAATCAATTACTCATAAGACTAAAGAGAGTTGAACGTTCTAGTCTATTAGGAAGCAGGGTCATCACGTAAAATCAACAACAAACGTCACTTTGTGACAGTATAACATGACATAACGTTTGAGATTTCTCGCATCCACACTGACGCAACCAAACGCGTTTAGAGTGGACCAACCACATACTGTAATTTAAAACTCCCAGTACATGCTTTATCATTAAGCCTATCAAAATACACTAGTTTAAGTTTCACATTAGCGGCAGTGATTATCAATGAGGTTACTCGTCCTTAACGTGGTAACAAGAGCGATAAACAACCATCAACCCCTTTTGGGCCCCTGAGATAGTATCGTCCATCACGTGACCGGTGTTACAGGGATCGTCTCCCAACAACAGAGGGCAGGCGAGAACATGGCTGAGATGAGTGTTGGAACGTTGATTACTCTTCTGTGTTGAAATCGATGTGTATCCCGTCAAGATTATGAATTCACTACGTTGTATCACCTCACTTAGTATCAGGACATACTCGATATGACGATGACGACATGATACGTCTTTGTCGACGATGTTGTCCGCGTCAATACTTCCAACACGGCGAGGATTCAAAAAGTGAGGCCGGAACAGTGAGCCTTGTTGGGAACTCGTGACTGAGGCTGCTGTGGAAGAAATGCACTGCGCTGTGTGCTGGTGAATGAGAATACTTACTGTGACAACGGCAAAAGTTTTTGAGCATTTTATGGACGTGTACCCTGGCCACCTCTCTTGGATCAGACACAACATGGCAGCATTATTCAGACACATCGCGCATGCGTGAGACGAATTATGCAAATTAGGGTGGAATGTTATTGGTTGAACGAAAGTATCAGTGTGACGTCAGAGTGATACTTTCGTTCGACTGTGATGACGACACAATTCGCATGTACACCTGATATTATCGTGAGCCATTTTTGCACTCAATGACCTTCATACAGTTGTGTGAATTCATATTTTTGCATCCAAAGTACGGTAAGGGGTTAATTGTGTTTACAATATATTTCATTTCAGCGTAATGTTGGCATTATTACATAATTAACATTCAAATTAAGGAATAATTGTTTCATCACAGTTTGTCTATCGAAGTACAATCCACACGTGTGTGCATGAAAATGTTCATCATTTACTTCTACAAGTATCTGCAAAATTTTAGCCCAGAGCCCATTGCTAATAGACCTAACGACGTCCTTAAGGGAAAATAATTAATCGAGCAATTGATACCATGCAACATATTATTCATTTCTACAGCCGCAGCAAAACAGTGAAATGTCCTCTTTATCTCCGTAGCAAGAGGGTTTCTCTCCGCCGTGCATGGCTCGAGTATATTCTGTGACCCGGGTTGGCGCCGGGGCCGTTGATAGAACAGGCTGCATATCCCGTCGTCCCTCATTGGCTGCTCTGGCCTCGATCGATAAATTATCTGACTATGAGAAACGCTGGTCACCTTGACGTGGGCAGACAACTTACTTCAATAACATCTTTTTGAGAACTTAGCGGTATGACCATAAACGCTAAAGAATTACATCATAACGCCGATCACCGGCAAGACCCATCGTCCTTTCCAACTCGCACTGGTGAGCTATATTTAGACTCCAAATTCGCTTGAAAATGCCGGATTGGTAGATCCATGCAGATGTCAGCGGTAAATGGGTCACGCTTGTGAGCCATTACGCACCGTTCAGACTGTAATCAAACGGCCTTTTCCTTTTCTGCGTGCGTTGTGGCGGGGAAGATAAATTCACCCCAGAAGCCATTATTGCATATTTATCTATGTAAACGGTGCAAATGATATTTGTAAATATCATATTTGCAAATGTGGTTTGTGGTTATATGCCAGTGCTTTCCGTGATAAATAATTCAAACGGAGTAATGTTTTTATGAACTCATTTATAGTTCTCATAAATATACTTATTCCACTATACTCAAAATGGAATCAGGTCATTGACTTGATGAGTATTCTTTACCGAAATGTGATATTTCTACGGCATTAAAATCAATGAGTTCATTTGCTGTCGTAGTTATTCACGTGACATTCTGTAACATTCTTCATCTTAAGTAACACTTCATTAAATATATGTAGGGCCATATCACGTTTTATTTTATCGATTAAGTATATAGAAGAACTTGGTACAGCTGTCTTTGTAGACTATATTTTCTCCCATTATACGAGGACAGTGGTTCAAGGTAGAACTGAAAACAACCATATTATTTCTGGGTAAGCTACTAAATGTGTGTTATGAAAGAGTAAACATGGCTGCTACAGTGGTTCGGAATACAACTGAAAACGTAACCGTATTATTTCTGGATGTGCTACTAATTAGGTGATGTTATGAAAGAATACAACACATTTCTAAAAGTTTGTCTTTCTGTAAATATTACTAAAGTCACTTTTCACCAAAGTATATCTCAAACTTTGTTCGTTGTCTGTTTGCTCAAACTGTAATGGAAAAGGCGATCTCGGTTTGCAGTCGTTCGTAATTGTGTGTAACGTCGCCATTATTCCTATGATGGTCATATTGTAATTATCATTTTGTTGAAGTCTGGAGAAGAGCCCTTTCTCCGGGCACTGTCACTGACGTCGTGGTTCTCAATCGATTTGTTACTATTATGGATAAGGCGTCGCCCCAAACACCGTTGGTTGGGCCAAAAATTAGCAAACCTTGTCACAAAAATTTTAACTTCTGAATTTGAAACCTGTCTATTTGACTGTTTCAACGCGCATCACAGCATCTGTATCAACATAAAGTTCCACACTTCGGATGCGAGAGTATTTATTGTACGCGAATGTATTGTATGTCAAATTTATATATACTTCTGACTTTAAAGGCCACGCGATTTGCCCGTTTCGAAAAAAATATTTCTTTTTCTAACATAAAGTAGGAAATCGATAGGCTATATGTCTTCCAGTATATGTACAGGATACACAGTTTTACACCGGTACGTCACAAAGCTACACCGGCCCATGCACCAAGTATCCACCATTCAGTAATCACAGGGCAGTCAAGTAATTGCCTAGTTTATTTCTTGCTAGACTTAAGGTAGACAATGGTATTTTTCTTGGTTGTATAGTTTCTTTATAACCTGCGAGCATATTCCATAGCCATTTAAGCTTGTTTTCTCAAATAATTGTCTATTTAAATAAATACGTGGTCACATGGACCGTTTGTGTTCGGGCAAAGGTTTTGATGGGCCAGGATACAGGCAAGAACCTGATTGGTTGCTTCCGGATCGCGCCACGGGAAATAGTCGCGTGATCCAGATTGTCTTTCTCCCAGCCGTGACGCGTCACCAGTCGGTGCAAGTCACGGCTGCTGCGCGAGGTCGTGGATGTTTAGTAAAGTCAAGGTCGCGCTGAGGTCGTGTAGATATGTTCAGAACATGCTGATACACGTTGTCGAATATTTACGTTCACAGGAAACATCCTGTACCTTATTATCTTATCCAAACTTGCGTAGTTGAGATGTTCATGACACGTCTGGACATATCGTTCCATCACGAATAAATGTGTTGTAACGCACTTTTTATTTTTGTTATATTTTGGTGTTTGTCATTTCCTATGTATCGACATACGTACTGATTAAATGTTCTGACTTTGAAACTCATCCTCGGTTATCCAGTGTACTACCTCTCGTGTATTACTACCCACTCGCCATTCTCGTATTACCAATTTTATCAAAGGATTTCTCACACCAGTGAGCTGGAAATCCACAAGCAATCAAAATGGGTCTTCTGGTCCCAGGTTTTTACGGCTTCTTATGAGCGTACCCTCGATATGTTTACTCGAGTGTCAAGGCTGTATACTTTCTGCTGGGGAAAATGTTTTCCCGAGTATTAAGGGGAGGTGAATCCTCATGCTACAAAGACGGCGTCCCAATTGGAGACCCTAAGCAACAAGACGACTCGACCACCCGTGGTGTCCGTGCGTGTTTTCAACCATAAAAGAACTATTTTTTCATGTCAGTCGAACCGATACACCGATCAAAGCTGTTGTGGCGAAGGAATCCAGTGTATTTATTATAATAGAATGGATATATTATACGCTGGAAAATCGAGGATGTGTGAACGAACTTGCACCTTCCGCCGTCGGGCACTGTAAAAGTCATTAAGGAAATTACAGGGACGCTTGCCTACATGGTCTGGTGTCAGTCTTTATTGAAAGTCTCGACATTATGATTAATGTCTTCAGGGAATGGGACGAATCCTATATGTTTGTTCGTTGTTTAACGTTGCACTCGGCAATATTCCAGCTATATGACGGCGGTCTGTATATAATCGAGTTTGGACCAGACAATCCAGCGATTGATGTCATGAGCATCGATCCACGTAATTGGGATATAATAACATGCATCAACCAAGTCGGCGAGCTTGGCCGTTAGTCGAGACTTATGCATGCGTAGTCGCCTCTTACGGAAAGCATTGGTTGCTGAAGAACCTGTCTAACCGAGATCTTCACGGGACGATTCTGTATTTAATTAGGGTGATCATCTATCGTAAGATTGGTCGATATAAAACAACTAGTGCTGGGAGATAGGTACAGTAACGGTTACCGGGTAGTTGGGCCCGTGAAGATCCGGGTTAGAATAGGTCTTCAACGACCCATTCTTGCCGTTAAAGGCGACTATGCTTGTCGTAAGAGGCGACTAACGGGATCGGGTGGTCATTCACTGACTTGGTTGATACATGTCATCAATTCCAATTGTGTGGATCTATGTTCATGATGTCAATCACTGGATTGTCTGGTCCAGACTCGATTAGGAGAAGACCGCCGTCATATAGCTGGAACATTGCCGAGTGCCTTGTTGAACAACAAACAAACAAACAAAACCGGGTATTTGAGAACTAGTCGAGTATGATGAGTATTCGAGTAGAGAATTATAACTCGTAGAGTTATCTCCCTTGTCCTTTTGTTTGATCCCCCTTTCTTATCAGTAATGGCGCATAACTACGCGAAAGTGTAACAGAAACTAAAAGCACACTGTTCTCTATTCAACTCTTTTTCAAGGATGGCACTACCTCTACAGTGAGGAACTGCCTGACACTGACACATTCGAACCTACTGCACTCAGGTCTATTTGCGTCCTCGTCAATCAAGTCTGCTCGGCTTTACAACAAAGGTAGATTCTACTGGCTTTATAAAGTTGAATATATTTCAATTTTGTATTAAAAAAGTTATTTACTATTAACTGTGAAGTAAAAGTATATTAAACATAAAGTAAAATTGATCGTTGAAGAATGGAAGACACAAAAAACATAATTCCTAATAATGTTAAAGGTACAATGTCATGTTTGAAATTCCGCAAATTGCATTTTCTGATAATTAGGAATTTCGATAAAAAACAGCAACACTTGTCTATTTAAAATGATGATTTTGTTTATGTTATATTCAGCACCAAATATGAGGATAAATTGTGCTAGTAAATACGATACTGCAGTAAACTGCGATTACTTGTGCAAAATATTCCGAGGGCCTCGAAACAACCAAAAGGTTTTGAGCGCTTGCTTGCTGCGCAAAATCGGGCAAATCACTTATTGGCGGGCGGCGAGTAATTACTAATGAGGTTTTGGTTCACATTTCAGCCTTTTAAACGCGACTATTCCTAGACTTAAGAGCAAGTCATAACGTCAAAACATCAACCACTGGTTTGTTTGCCACTCTATTATTTACAGGTTACTGTGTTTACAGCGGCGTTAAGTAACATTTTATTGTTGAAAGTGGAAACTATTAAATGATTACTGATGAATTATGTTTTAATCACAAGTCAATTTCTAATGTCTATTTGAGTTACTATGTCAATGATCGGCAGTTTAGAAAAGAAACGTAATTGAATTACAACCTACTCCATATGATCAGCACTAAACTGGAGTTGTCCTTACCAATGATGTCCACACGCAGTGAGGGAGAACACCCATTCGTGCAATGTTTCGTTGGTATTCAGTCTTCACGAGTAACTTGAGTGAGTGAGTGAGGTTTTACGCCGCTTTTAGCAATATTCCAGCAATATCACGGCAGGGGACAACAGAAATGGGCTTCACACATTGTACCCATGTCGGGAATCGAACCCGGGTCTAACCACTAGGCTACCCGACCGCCCTCAAGAGTAACGGTTGTTCGTTGAACAAAATCATCTAAACTTTTTTGAAACACGATTTTGGCAGTGAGCCTTTAGTGCACCACTGCAGAAATATGATCTCAAAGCAGGGAGTCTATATAAAGGTCTTGGTTAGGTCACAGTGACCTAGCATGGAATGTGAACTTTGTTGATTCTTTATATATGTAGATTGAACAACATTTGTCTTTGTCGACCATGTATTTTATTGGATCAATGGACGCTGTTCCTGGCGGGGCATTCAAGATGCTATATAAGGTGTAGACGCTTGACAACGGTGTAAGAGATGATCATCCTGCGGAGGAGCTGCTTGTGAACCTCTCGTTATGAGCTGCTCGTCATCCCGCGGACCGCGCGTTGGTTCAAGTGACGCACCGCTCAATCTTGTTATTTGCCCGCACCCACATTGTAGTGTTGTTTGTTGTTCAACGCCGCGCTTAGCAATATTCAAGCTATATGACCGCGGCCTGTAAATAATCGAGTCAAGGCCAAAGAGACCTGTGATTGATATTGTGAAGAACGATCTACGCCGTCGGGGTACGAGTGAGTGAGTGAGTATGGTTTTACGCCGCTTTTAGCAATATTCCAGCAATATCACGGCGGGGGACACCAGAAATGGGCTTCACACATTGTACCCATGTCGGGAATCGAACCCGGGACTTCGGCGTGACGAGCGAACGCTTTAACCACTAGGCTACCCGACCGCCCCTGTCGGGGTACGATGACAGCGAACAACCAAGTCAACAAGCCTTACAGCCCTATCCATGTGGTCGCCTCTTTCGGGGACCCAGTTTGTTTTGTGTTAAAATAAATACATAGTTTGATGGTGCTAAGTAAATAAAGAGTTTGTTCGGGGACGCAGCTAAGGAAATACAGATTTTAGGAATTAAAATGAAATAAATTGCTTGACAACAAAGTTAGAATTAAATATTCTAGTTGGTGTCAGGATGGACTTGTATATGTATACGTAGTGTCAAGGGCTGGGACGAGTCCACATTTACTACCCGGGTACCCGCTCCCATATTACCCGACCCTACCCGGGTACCCACTGTAGGTCTCAAGAGATACAAAATGTCCGATTGGGAATTTCTTTACCACAGCACTTGCAAAACGTATTTAGATACATGTATCATACACTGACGTTGACTTAAGTTATATCTTTATTCAACCATATGAAAAGTCAGAAGGAATGGGTGCATAGTCAGAAAGAAATGCGAACATTAGTGACTTGTAGTGTAACCATAGAGTTCTAGATAGTTTTTGCCATTAAACTATCTATCACATGACTAACCACGGGTCCGGGTAGTCCTGTGGGTACCCGGGTCCTACTCAGTACCCACCCGATCCGGGTACCCGAGTTACCCGTCCCAGCCCTAGGTCACTAGTGTCAGTGTCAGAACAGTGTACACTCCCGGACAGCAGGGGGGTGAGGGGAGCGTGAAGAGGGGCTGCCTGCCTGGGGAGACAGTGAAATATGAAACCCTGAATGTATCTCTTTCCTCCACCAGCTGACATGTTGCTATGGAAACACACCTCTGCGTAGATCCGCGTATAAACGCACAAATCAATTGTTATAAATAAAAGAGTCAATAATAACTTCACAGACTGCTTATTTCATCATTGATAAAATCAATGTAGGAAATTATATGAAAACAGTGACGCAATAATGCAACACAAGGCCCGCCCAGTCTATCATCAGCCAATCGGGAAACAGTATTCCGTTAGTGGGCGTGGTCTATGCACTTGCAATCTATTTTGAGATAAAAATGTTATTTTATTACTAAATACACAATAAATAACAATTTGCACTTGTGACTGTAACAACTTACAGCAAACGTCTTTGACTATATTTATGAATTCTTCGGCTTTTAAGTTTCAGATTCGTCAGAACTAATGCAGGATCGATAATTCTGAATGGTTGCATTTTCACTGTTATTTCTGATGCATTTACGATATCTGTGAGAGAAGACATATGTATGTAAGCATGCTTGGCTTGGTTTAGTCTGTCTAACAGACCCTGATACAAATATATCAAATACAGCCCATGCAAGTCTTTAATGTTTGGCAAGCCTAGATTTCTGCAGTATCTAAAAATACAGAGTCTCTGGGCTCCTTTTTATTAATGTTTTTAAAGATAATTTAACAACTTTATTTTCTGTACGATATGTTCATTTCAGAGACTAGATGTTAGTCTAGCCTTGGTTCTCGGGTCGCTAACGTTCAGGCTGTTTGCAGTGATACATTTTAGGAACACTAAAATGGTCAGTTGGCTCGAACACTGCCCACGTGACTAAAAACCCCAGAATGCATGCGCTCTAACACCGTAACAAGATCTCCATTATGGTTTTACAAGTTTTAAAGGTGGAAACAGTTCCAAAAACAGGCATAAGTTAAATATTGTGCATGTCAA